GAAAACCCGCCCCCCCCCCCCCAAATGCCCTGTCTCATGTTGCCCTGAATGCTGAAATGAAACCAGACTCCAAAAGTTTCTTGGAGGGGAAAAGCAACTATGAAAGGAGTCAGCAAGCTGTGCTTTTCACACAAGACTCCCTTACTTCGTAAGGGTTTGGGAATTGAAGAGTCTGGGAACAATGCTGTAGCTCAGAATAAGAATTTGGATTTCTCCTGAACTCTTAGGAAGAAAATTGCCAGCAGCTCCAATAGCATGTGTGTCCTGGGTAGTGGGTGTGCCACACTGCTGCTGGTCTGAGGGCTGGGGGCAGGGCAGATGAACCCATTATGGCTCAGGGGCCTTTGCTTCTCTGGTTGAGTGTGTGAGTCCTTGAGACAAAATGGGCACTGCTGTCCTGGGTCAACTGGTTGACATGGAATTGCTGTGTAGACAGGCCCCAGTGTGGTCAGGGACACTTCTAGGCTGTGAGTATTCTGGAATGGGACCATGTCTGGAGGTGCAAGCTAAATGCCTAGAAACGACTTGTATTTTCACTTCTTGCATAAAATCTTTGTGGGAATTATTTTATACAATGCCTTTTATTCTTTTTCCCTTACCATTTGGGTAAGTGGCAAGTTTCTTCCAGTGCACTTGTTCTAGTATTGTCTTTTCTTATGCATCATGGGAGAAGTTAATCTGTGTATTTGGTAATATGATTTCCACTTATAATTACGTGATATGGCCTTGGTATTCTTTTGAGACAGTCTCTCTCTCATATAGCCCAGGCTTGCCTAGGACTTGTTATGTAATGGAGGACAACCTTGAATTATTGATCTGTTTGCCTTCACTTACCAAGTTTTGGAGTCATAGCTGTGGCCACTGAACAACAGTTTGTAAGTGATTCTACAGAGAGCTATTTAAAAGTAAACGGAAGCTATCTTACTTTATCCTGGTGTAAAGCAGAAAGAAGGGAGGGCCTGCTTATACGCTTTCCCTTTCTGTCTGTCTGTCCTCAGATATGCAGCATTGTCTCTTACTTCTCTTCAGTCTTCTAACCTTTCATTCCTAGTCTGTCACCTCTTACACCTCATTCCCTGCTCACTTCACTATTAAATATAATAACTTTCCCCCAGCCAGGACTCCTGTTTTCAAACCTGGATAGGAACACAAGTCAAGTCTCAGTATTTATTGTCTTCTACAGCTAGCTAGAATCTGAACATAAACTCAAGTGAAGACAACCCATCATGAAGATTCACATAAGTGTGAGAAAAAGAGGGGCATTACAGATCAGAGGACGCGACACTCCACCCAGGACCCCACAAACAGACTGAGTGACATTCTATCCTAGCACTCCAGAAGCAGACAGCCTCTCAATACTGGAAAAGAGCCGAGACATGGAAATGCCAGAGTCCCCAAAGAAACACATGGAATTCAATTCAAAACATGCATAGAAAAATTACAAAATTTCAAGATACAGCCAGGAGAGACACCAAACTAGGCCATTGAAGAAATCAAGTTAGAAATTTAAAAATACCTTGGATGAAATGAAAGCAAAAGCATAACCCACCAGAACCTTTAGGGTACAATGAAGGCAGTAGTCCTGAGAGGAGAGTTTGCAGCTCTGTGTGCTCCTGTTAAAAGAGTTTAAATAAATAACCCCCAAGCTCTGGAAAAGCCAGGAGCAGCCAAACCCAAGGCAACAGATGATAAAAAAAACCACAGCCAGGTGGATGAGATGGAAAGATCACACAACATTAAGCAGACAAACAGCTGCTTTTTTTTCAACGATTCAGTAAGATTAACCACACAGGCGCCAAATTAACCAAAAGAAACGGAAGGTGCAAATTAATAAAATCAATGACAGAAAGGGAGTTGCTACAACAGACTAATGAAAGCTGGGTCATTAGGGAATGCTTTGAAAACTCAGATTACAATAAATTGGAAAATGGGTAATAATAGGCAAAATGGGCAAGTTTCTAAGTGCATATGACCTGCAGAAGTTAAAGCCAGAATAAATAAATAAATAAATCTCTCTAAACATATCCATAGCGAACCAGGAGGGGGAAGAAATCATTGATTTAAAGAGAAATCTGGCACTAGGGAAATGTCCAGAGATCTACAAGGATGACAACAGCTAACAATCTAATGCGAGAGGCTATTTTAAATGCCCTTCCCCGAGAATGAGATTGATGACACCTTATATGCCTTCATCCAGTAGCTGATGGAAGCAGAAGCAGACACCCACAGAAACAGCTGACCTGAACAAGGGGGAGCTCATGGACCCCAGACTGATGGCTGGGAAACCAGCATAGGACCCAGCCAGACTCTCTGAACGAGGATGTCAGTTTGGAAGTCTGGTTAATCTATGTGGCCTCTGGCAGTGGATCAGTACTTATCCCTAGTATATGAATGGACTTTGGGAGCGTACTCCACAGAGAGGGATGCTCTCTCAGCCTAGACATACAGGGGAGGGCCTAGGCCCTGCTCCAAATGATGTGACAGACTTTAAAGATTCCCCCATGGAAGGCCTTACCCTCCTTCGGGAGCAGAAAGGGGATGGGATAGGGGGTTGGTGGGGAGGGAAAGGGAACTGAGATTAACATGTAAAACAAGCTTGTTTCTAATTTAACCTAAAAAAAAAAACCCTCAGTACAGTCAAGGTTGGAGAAGTGATATGATGCCAAATCTACCAAGCTTTCAAGAAGACCTGATAAAAATACTTGTCAGACTCCATGAAATAAGAGTGTGGAGGAAAATTGCCAGGCTCTTTCTGTGGAGCCAGCACAAGATTGGTTCTGAACTCTAAAGACAAAAGAAGAAAACTACAGGTCAGTCTCATAGATTAAAAAAAAAAAAAAATCAGATTGCAAGTATTTTGTGATCACATTAAGATCATAAATCACAACCAAACTAGTTCCATCCCAGGGCTGCAAGGTTGGTGTGACATACAAATCAATAAATGTCATTAATAAATGTAAAGACAGATCACATGATCATCACAACAGAAGGCAGAAAAAGTCATTGAAAATTCCACATACCTTCATGATAAAGTCCTGAACAAACTATGGGAAGATAGAGCCTTCCTCTTTATAATAAAGGTGATATACAAGTATATAGTTAAAGATGGAAAACAGCCCTGTTTCTTGGCACAAGACAAGGGTGTCCATCATCGCTCATACTGAACAAAGTGTTCAAGAAGACAAAGGTGTAAAAGAGAAATCGGGGAAGAAGAAAAGCAGTTTAAGGTTGGCTTGTGTTGTTTTGTTAAAGACTGACCGAAAGCAGCTTAGGGAGAAAAGGATTTATTTAGCTTAAATATCCTGAGCCAAGGTCCTCTGAGGGAAGCCAAGACAGCAGCTCAAGCAGAGTAGGAACTTGGAGGCAGGAACACAATAGACTGGAAGAATACTGCCCACAGCACTCTCCCCAGTGAGCTGGGCTCTCACGTTACCCATTAGTCAAGAAGATGTTCTATAAACTTGCCTACAAGCAATCTGATTGAGGCATTTTCTCTATTGACTAACCAGGACACTATCCCTTTGGGCACAAAAAAAATATTTTATTTTTATTTTTTTTTTGGGGGGGTTTCGAGACAGGGTTTCTCTGTGTAGCTTTGAAACCTATCCTGGCACTCGCTCTGGAGACCAGGCTGGCCTCGAACTCACAGAGATCCGCCTGCCTCTGCCTCCCGAGTGCTGGGATTAAAGGCATGCACCAACAACACCCGGCAATATTTTATTAAAAGACCTCATGGACTCCATAAAAAAGCTTTCAGTAGAGTAGCAAGATATAAAGTTAACATTCAAAAATCAGTTTTTAGTAGGGTGTGCTGGTGCACACCTTTAAGCCCAGGGCTCAGGAGGCAGAGGGTAGGGGGACCTCTGAGTTCCAGGCCAGCCTGGTCTACAGAGTTTGAGTTCTGGGATGGCCAGAACTACATAGTGAGACCCTGCTCAAAACAAATACCCCCCCAAACCCAAAATTAGTAGCTTTTATATATATCAAAACTGAACTTGCTGACAGATATATTAGGGAAAATACCCTATTTACAATAACCAAAAAAGAATCTGAGAGAATAAACCTAACCATGGAGGTAAAATTCTATAAGGAAAATTGAAGACATCAGATGATGGGAAGCCCCTCTATGCTCCTGGGCTGGCAGAATTAGTTTGTGAAAATGACTATATCACCAAAAGCAGTCTACAGGTTCAATGCAATTCAGACCAGAATTCCAGTGATACTCTTCACAGAACTAGAAAAAAAATTCTAAAATTTGTATGGAAATACTAAAGATCACAGATAGCTAAAGCAAATCTAAGCTTGAAGTTCAGTATTACCTCAAACTCTACTACGTAGTCATGGTGATAAAGACACCATGCACAAAAGCACAGTGATAAGCCCACACATCTGTGGACACATTTTATCTGCATGACTAAACGAGTCCTACATTTAGCCCCAAGATGGAGATTGGACCCTGTCGTGGCTCCTCAGCACCCAGTACCTGGAAGGCTCTCCTGACTATTTTGAGCCTCTTCTGGAGAAGCTGTGAGAAGTCATCCTCTTGCTTGCTGCTGGCGCTGCTGTTAATCACTCTGTGAGTGAAAAGCACAGCGTCCATGGAGACTCCCTGGGCCCTTCCATAGTCTTGAAGAACAGCAGTAAGAAAGGCTTTAAAGAAAAACAGTGCCAAAGTTTCTGTTAAGCCTCAGCTTTCCTGTGGGGGTAGGCACCATGGCTGCCCAGTGGACATGAAGGTAAGAGCCAGGAAGGAAGGGTAATGGGTGTTGTGTATCAGTTTACTCCCAGATGAAACATTCCATCTTAGGGGGAAGCTTAGGAAGAACACAGAAAGCTCTCAAGAGGTGAAACATTCCATCTCACAAGGGAGCGCCATAAAACTCAGGAAGGAGTCAATTCAAAAGCTTCAGGAAGTTTCTGAAACTGACCAGTTTCACCAGGCCCCTCCCTCCCCAAGTGTAAACAAACAGTAAGGACTGCTGAGAGATACTCTCAGGCATGCTGGACTTCCTTGGAGAGACTCTCCAGGTTGTCCAGTCAGTTCCAGAGTCCTAGCTTTCATGAGCTGTCATCCATGTTGGGGTGGCCTTTGGTGATGCAGTTGTCTGAGTCATTTCTGCTCCTCTAAATAACCCCAACACACTGGTTTACTGAGATGGATTTTGGTTGGTTACCTATCTAGTGTGAATAGATGTTTGTTGACACTTACCTGGGAATGATGCCATACCTTGGGGTGAGACTGGAGGACAGGAGGGGCTAGCCACCCACACTTGCAGGCCTGTACACATGGGCTGTTTCTGTAGGTTTACCAGCTCCCTGTCCCCTCTGTGCAGGAAGAGGCGACAGCCCTGGGACCTGAGCCTTTTCTGATCTTATTGAGATTGATGATTGATTGTACCTTACTGTAATCTTGGTAGCAGAGATAGGTCACAGACAGTTGAGTATGCAAGCCAGGGCTCCCGAGGTGGCCCCAGGCAATGCCATATTGACAAGGAGGAAGTTCCTTCCCCCCCACCCCCTGGGCTTGCTAACCTGCAACCTGCCTGTGGTGATTTTGTCTCAGGTGGCAGAGAGGGAGGGTACAGACAAGGGACAAACCTGTGTGAGAATGAATCCTTCATCGGGGCTGTGGGCCTCTCGCTGTGTTCCCATTTCAGTGACCTCAGCTTTCCAAGCCAGGTGAGGAGGCCTTGAATCCTACTGAGCTCTAGCCTGCCATCTACCTCATCATCACAAATAGGGAGGCCAGCTGGTTCTGCCTCCCAACTTTCCTTCTGTCTGCCTCCTTCTCTCCTGTCCCATGACCCCCTCCTGCAGCCACTGCCAACTTTTGACTAGAGCAAAGACTTCCCTGTGGCCAAGACCAAGCCTGAACCTCTCTGGCCTACCAATGCCCCCTTTCCTGTCAGGCGCCTAGGACCTTTCTCTGCCTCTCTCCCCTCTATCCATTGCAACAACTTCCTGCTGCCTCCGGTACAGCGATCTTTCTAGCTTCAACCCACACAAACTGTCTTGGGGCCTTGTGTCTGTCCTTGGTTGAATATTCAACTCTAAGTCAGGCCAAATTCAAAATGTGGTCACTTGGATTGGGTTCCCTCATTGTCCTCCAAGTTACTAGTTAGTTGTGGGACTTTGGGCAAGCCCCCCCCCCCTTTAAATCTTCTTTCCCTATTAGACGTCTCATTTCATGTGTGAGTGTTTTGCTTTCATACGTGTCTGTACCACATGTGTGCTTGGTGCCTGTGGAGGTCAGAAGATTAGGGGCCCTGGAACTGGAGTTCAGATGGTTGTGAAACACTGCATCAGTGTTGGGAATCAACAAGAGGGAGCCAACTCTCCAGAGTCTCTCGGTGACATGTTTTTCCTAGCTGGACGCAACAGGGCTGGCAGCCTGCAGTACTGCCTGAATGTTGTTCACCCTCTCCTACCCCATCTGGGCAATTCTTAGTTGGTAACAAGCTTCAAGTCTCATCTTAGCCCTTTCCTTAGAGACCTTCTCTGGCCATCAGCTGTGCTCTCCTTGTTTATGTACTAAGTGTTGATTCACTCAGACTCATTTGCTCTTAAAGTATTGACTGAGAGCTCTGTTGGTGTTGGACAAATTAGGTACCAGGGGTACAACGGAAAACAAGAGACCAGCCTACCTGTCCCTGCCCTGGTGGAGCTCAGTCCACTGTGGCCTCTGCACAGTCCCTTATGGGTCTTGGCTCCCTGCTGTTTGTGATATATTAGTGTCTGTCTACGTTTCCTGCTGGGGATTTGTGCTGAACAGGTAGGGTGCAGCAGACATGCCACCACCAATTCTTTTTAATAAATGAGTGTCCAAGGTATAGTCTTTCTTCCTGTGTAGGCCTTAGGGAGGTGTCTTACTTCTGCACCTTTGATGTCATAGAACCAGTGGCTTAGGGATGAGAAAGTGACAGGCTAAGGCCTCGTAGGGCCTTGGGTGTGGGGAAGATGGAATGAGAAGAAGAGGTAGGGGCAGGCCAGGCTTAAGGCCTACAGGGCTGCAGGTGCTGTCTTTGGGGCCAGTGGTGGTGAAGCAACTGAGTGCAAACATGCCAGAGCCAGATATGGGTCTGCCCTGGGTGCTAGTACTCACCTTGTGGATTGAAGAAAGCAGGTAGCCAGTATCTCGAGGGAAAGCTTCTGGTGAGCTCACTCTCAGAGTTGGTGGGATATTTGGATTTCTGGTTGGCCAGTAATGTAGTAGACTGTTTCATTGAGACAAATGTCATGTACCTGTTGAGAAACCAGTGGCAGGGTTGGGTGGGGCGGGGCATGGCAGTGTGGGGCGGGGCAGGGCAGGGCATCTCAGAGCATAGTAAGCAGCTGTTCCCCTTCAAGTGGTCTGGCAGCCTCCTCCAGGTTACAGCTCTCACTACTCAACCCAGCCTACCTCAGCCTCTTCGTTTTATACTTTGATGGACACTGGGTAGAGTTTGAAGTCTCTTAGGGGGAAGGAGGGTGAATTGTGGAAGCCATGGATCTGGAAATGCTTGGCTGGGCCTTGAGGAATCTTAGCACTTGTTTCTGAGTTGCAGACTTTGCCCACAGCCAATACTCATGTGCTGTGAAGCACAGGAGACAGCTGGCACAGGTTAGACAAAGAACTTGTGGGTTTGCATGGCGATACTTCTGTTTTTCTAGTTGTGACATTTTGGGAAAGTCATTTCCTGTGCTGTGGCATACTCCTTTCTGAACAGCATAGTGGCAGGTTGGTATTGGCCTCCCATCACAGGACGTGATGACGGGGTCGGTACCTACCTCCCTTCACAGGACCACTATGAGAAACAAGTCAGGGAAACACAACTAAGTTTTCCACACTATTCTGCATGCCCCAAGGGCCAGTTTTCCAGGCATAGTGTGGGATAGCTGGAAGAAGCCCAAATACTGGGTACTTCCAGCTCTTAGCATGGGAAGACCGTATGTGGGACCCCAACTTTGAGGTCTCTGTTTTCTTATCCCAAAAGGAAACGGCGAGAAAAAAGCCCAAGAGCCTGAGCTGAGCTGGCATAGTGAGGTGAATGGGGGAACTGCCAAGCTCCAACAGAAGCAGGGAAGGAAGAAAGGAAGGAAGGAGAAGCTGTGTTGCCTCTTGTTCTTACCGTTGGTGTAAGGCAGTGTAGGCCACTTTGGCCCAGGTGTTGAAGAAGTTCACCCGCTGGAGAAGGTCGCTCACCCAGAAGCTCAGGGGCTTGCAGGACTTGTAGGCGTTCTTCTGTGGATAGAGAGGGAGGCGCATCATTTCTGCCAGGGAGAAATGCCTTGGCAGGAGATGCCACTTTCCAGCTGAAAACACATTGATGTGTGAAGACTGGTACCAAGGAAATGACATCACCTTGACTAGAAGTGCTTGTCCCGGCCACAGGGTTCATTACTCTTCAGCCTTAGCTCTCACCTCTTCCTTCCGGGGACATTGTCTTCATGAGGACCCCAGGCTTCCTGGTGCAAGTTACCAACCTCACCTACTGGACAGTCCTTTCCCTTCCAGCCCATCAGAGCTGGCCCAGCCTCTTGATCTTCTGAAGTGTTTCTTTCTGCTTGCAGCCTCCACTGTGCATTCTCTAATCCCATTCACAGCGAGCCCTCAGATATCAAGAGATGGGGGAATGGGGCTCGCAGTCCTCAGCTGCTCCCATCTTCTGTTTGCAGTCGGGATCATGGCCTCCTGTCCCCACTTCTGTCCTCATTAGAAATCAGTGGTCACCGCCTCCCGTGCTGTTGGTCTCACCCCACCCCCCAAGGCACCCAGTTCTCTCCTGAATTCTGTCTATTCCTTTCAGATCCCATCCCATCTGCTTTGAGGTGATAGCTGTTGCCTGACTCCTCCCAGCCCTTTCCTTTCTCTACCCTCACCCCTGGGCCCACTGTTTTACCCAGACTGACTGCAGGTGTGACTGACCCTGCCTGGGGTCCTCACATCTACCTAACTATCCCCTGACTGTCCCATGTCCATCTCATCACTTGTCCTAGGCTGGACATCCCCAGTTAGCTGAGCTCAGATGTTACATTGCAATTTTTCACTAGTTCCTATTCATTTTTAAAAGAATTAGTTGTCGTTGATGCCTTTTACTGGTTTCCCTGTTTTCTACATAGGGTTTTTTTTTTTTTTTTTAAAGTACTGACCTGCAGTTCACATAACTACACAGTTAACTCTTTTGAAGCACACATTCAATAAGTAGTTGTCAAATGTATTTACTGAGTCAGACAACCAATACTGCAGTCACCTTCAGCATATTTTTCATTACTGAAGTAAAAACCAAAACAAAACAAAATAAAAAAACAAAAACCTGGTCTTTTTGCTTGCACTGCTTAGTTTTCTGTTACCTTCAGTTGGGGGCAGCTACTATGTATGGGTTTGTCTGTTTTGGATGTCTCATTTAAATGAATCACACACTGTGGCCTTTGCCGTTCCCTCCTTACACTGTAGAAGAGCCTTGGTTTTCAGGGTTCACCCATGTAGCATTTGTTAGCACTGTTTATGTTGGTGGCAGTCATCTATACTACTTTCCTGTTCCCTAAGAATATGGACATACAGCTTTTGTAAACATTTGAAGTTTTATACTAACTAAAAATATGGACAAGATAAAACAGAATAGCCGACCAAAATACTACAAAATGCAAGATTAAAACCAGTGCCTTTCTGCACACATGGCCCTTTAAGACACCACTTAAGGCAACTACTAAGATCTGGTTTTCCTTCTACAACTTCTGTGTTTCTTGAAACTAAAACACGTGCACTTTTATAAGCAAACATTTGTCCCCACATTCTTCCGAAGCTTTAAAAGCTTTACCTGGTCATTGTGACATATGCACGCACACCTTGTCTTGTGGCCAGACCTTAGTTCACATAACCAGATTCTGCTTTGTGGATCTCCAGGCTGTTTGCAGATTTACACTGCAACAGCTCGAAGGTAAATTTTGGTACAACTGCCATGCTGCCCTCTAATTGGTTGCATTCACTTGCATTTGTACCCAAAGTAGATCAGCACAGTGGTCCCTTACCGTCTCCTCATGTGGATCAGTTCACTCAGTCATTGTGGAGCACTGACCCTTCCCTCAGGCTAGAGGCAAACAAGCAGTGTGGTTGCTCACCTGCCACAGCTTGGGTACTCTGGCTCGCAGGAAAGAGTCGTATATCTCCTCCAGGTCTTGCGTGAGGATACTCTTTCCCTTTATAGCAAGTTCAAGATCCTTTAAAGATTTATGTATGATGGATAATAACTTATCGAAACGTTGTATTTCTTGGTTCAGATATGTTATCAAGACACAGTGGATAAGGGGATCATGGCCTGAATTTAAAACAAACAAAAAGGGAAAATGTAATGTTTAGAGGGGAAAGATACAGGATTCCAAGCTGGAGGAAGTCTGTGTGCTTTAATAGATCATGGTTGTAGACGTTTTCTGGAGAATTGTAGACAGCAAATATTTTATTTTTTAAATCAACCATACTGACTGATTTTATGACTCATACTAAGAATGTCTCCTCACCTAATATGCAAATCAGTAAGCACCAGCTGTGTCTCAAGAAAGCTTTAGCCAGTCATGGTGGTGCACACCTGGGGTGGCAGAGGCAGGTGGATCTCTGTGAGTTCAAGGCCAGCCTGGTCTACAGAGTGGGTTCCAGGACAGCCAGAGCTACATAGTGAGACCCTGTCTCAAATTAACCAAAATAAAGCTTTATGTATGAGCACTCAAGTCTGAAATTCATATAGTGTTTGTATGTCACAGAGTGTATGTTCTACCTTTGACATGTTAAATGACTGGAATCCTATAAACATGGAGCTGGAAGTGGTGGTGCATGCCTTTGATCCCAGCTCTCTGAGTTCCAGGCCAGCCAGGGCTCCTTAGTGAGACCCCCCCCTTTTTACTATATATTTTTTAAACTTGCAGGCAGAACTGAAAATGATTTAGCATCCTGAGAGATGCACCCTAAGATTTCCCCATTGTGCCAGTGTCGGTGTGCTTACTCAAACTGAGACATTAGTTGTTAGATGACGTAATCTCATGGGGCACTGTTGACATTAGTTGTTAGATGACATAATCTCGTGGGGCACTGTTGGGTATGTGCTGTCACCACCTGCACCATCACTGTGCATTTTGGTAAAGCTGTTGCTCAACATTTGGCTCCAAAAAGAATTTTGGAAAGAGTTAAGACTGTGGAGCTGGAGGGATGGCTCAGTGGTTAGGAGCACGTAAATGCTCTTTGTTCTTGCAGAGGGCTTGGATTTGATTCCCAGCATCCATGTCACGACACTGGCTGTAACTGCAGCTCCTTGGGCACATGTACTCAAGCGCACACCAAACCAACATACAAAAAATAAATTTATAAAAGGGAAATTTAAAAAAGGAATTATGGATGTTAAATTTTAACTTGGAAAATTCTCCCAATCCAGGCATTTAACTCCTGCTCAGAGCTGGCCCTGGGCCTGACCTCACCTCAGTCAAGAGGCTCCCTTTCTGAATCTCCACCATCCTAAGTACCACCCGCTAGGCGCTAGGCCGGACCGTGGGGAGAGCAGCAGTGGGCAGCTACCCCAGCAGAGCACTGTGCTGTGTCTGCCATGATGCCTGCTCTCTCACTCTGGGTTCATACTGCAGCCCCCCTTTCCCCTCTGCTACCATCTCCCATCTGGCCTTTGCAAACATTGGTTCCTCTCCCTTCCTCTGGGGTCAGAATCTTTCCTGCTGTGGCTGCAGCTCCGGGAGAAGCCCAGGGCTGCTACTTACCTTCAACGCTTTTCTGAAGCTTCTCCCACATGGCACTTAACATCATGTATTTGAATGTGCACTGACTGTCAGGCCCAGAAACGTCCTCGGTCTCCACGGCCAGGGGCAGCTGAACCTTTATGTCAGACAGGATCTCCATCACTAGGTCGTCATTGCTCTGCTCGGGACTGTAAAGGAGGCAGGTGACAAGTGAGGCAGAGACCCATTGTCTGGGGAACCCTCTGCTCTGGCCCCACAGACGGTGAGCAGCTTCACGGAGCCCAGGGCTGTGATACAGAAGACCCCAGAGACACTGGACTTCTCTTTACAGAGGAGAAAACTGTCCCCTAACTTACACATTTATAAGAAAATGTGGGTTTGTTTCTAAAACATTTTTTTTTTTTCTAACATCTGCAGATAGGCGTATGCCAAGACTGAATGAGGCCCAGGAGCTCAGGGGTTCTCAGGGGGTCACTTTGTCACATTCCTCTGTGCTTATGCAAGGGCTTTTTTTTTTTTTTTTTTTTGGTTTTTTGAGACAGGGTTTCTCTGTGTGGCTTTGGAGCCTATCCTGGCACTCGCTCTGGAGACCAGGCTGACCTCAAACTCACAGAGATCCACCTGCCTCCACCCCCAAGTGCTGGGATTAAAGGTGTGCGCCACCAACGCCCAGCTTGCAAGGGCTTCTTGACTGTTATCTCTGGGTGTGAGAGGAGCACTGCGGCTGCATGGCTAGAGGAGACTGTGGGTGCCACATGGTCCTTTCCAAAGCTGGGAAGTTGGGGTCAGGAATGGATGGATGAGGAGGAGGACAGGGCAGACAGCGGGAAGTGGGCCAACAGGGGACAGCTGCACTCCTCAGGCTCTCTCTGCTCACCAGTTTGGGCCCAGTTTTTCACCTTACACCAGAGTTTCTTTTCATTTAACCAACTGAATGCCATGCCATCTTTGAAAGCAGCGGATAACCCCGACACCACCAGTGTGGCCTTTTACCTCACTGCTTCTGGGCCACCTTGCCATCTGTTTCTTTCTTTCTTTCTTTCTTTCTTTCTTTCTTTCTTTCTTTTTCTTTCCTTTTTTTTTTTTTTTTTTTTTTTTTCGAGAAAGGGTTTCTCTGTGGCTTGGGGGGCTGTCCTGGAACTAGCTCTTGTAGACCAGGCTGGTCTCGAACTCACAGAGATCCCCCTGCCTCTGCCTCCTGAGTGCTGGGATTAAAGGTGTGTGCCACCAATGCCCGGCCCATCGGTTTCTCAGTAGCCATTCAAGATAGCTTCAAGTAATTTCCAAAGTCAAAAAGTCTCAATTACATCGACGGTGACAGGTCTCCCAGTGCCGTCTCACAGACCAATGAGTTTGTGTTTGAGTGATGTGATTGGACGAATTATGGCCTCTCCATCTAAGTGAGGGGACACTATGAAACACGTTTAAGATTCTTGTTAAAAGTATTCCTGTTGAAGAGCTATTTCTTTCAAATTCAACACTCCTTTCTAGACAAAGACTCCTTCACACTGAGGAAATGAACTAAACTTAGAAGGCTTAAGGAGTAAAGTAAGTCACAAGTCTCAAGAAGTTCCTGAAACTTAGAAGATTTGAAAGGCTCCCTGCAACATTGTATCAAAATGAGCAGTTGCTGGTGGGAGAGGCTGGTGAGTTGCCACCTAGACCAGGGTAGCATTTTTGGTGACATAGATGTCTTTGACTCATCTGAGCTCTTGTAAGTAAGCCAGTAACCCATACTCCTGAAGATAATGTCAGTGGACCAACCCACTGGTTCACTAAACTAGATTTGGGAGGAACTGTTTCTGTGGTGTTTTGTTAGTGCCCTATCTGAGGCCAATAGACATTTGTTTATATCTCCCCAGGAAAAGCCACACAATTCCATTACAGCCATGCCATCTTTTACTGGTGTAATGGGGAGTGCTAATAGTATAAAGGGGGTCATCAGAAGTCTGAACATTCCACCTGCTGCTCTGGGAACATCTGGGTATTTTCTCTTCGGTATATGCCTTTCTCCTTATGTGCAATTGTTCTCTGTGAAGCAGATTATATATACCTACTTCTAGTGAATTGGTACTTGAAACTATGTCTATTTTGTGTTAGTAAACAATGCTGGGGGATGGATCAAATAGCAAAACCCGTGTGCAAAAGCCAGAGAGCATTCTGATGTCATCTGAATAAGTTATGATCCAAAGAGACTGGAAGACTATAATGGAATATAGAATTCCAATTGGTTTGGAGGCACATGGAAAAATACATGTATTTTAACAGCCAAAGAAATGTAAACTCACTCTATAGGCATTAGAGAATGTGTAGTTGGCATCCAGGGATGTGGATAATGTGGCCGCCTTGCATAGAATTGCGGGGCAATTATCCCGACGGAGTTCTGAGTATCCTACTCATGCTCCCAACAAGAGGTAATCCCAGCAAGGGAAAAATAATAGGAAAGATAGTGTTGTGCCAAGGAAATGTTACTATCAGAGTATAGTGTGTGTGTGTGTGTGTGTGTGTGTGTGTGTGTGTGTGTGTGTGTGTGTTGTACACATGCCTGGTGCGGGTGAACTTGCCCATGTAGGCAAATGTGGACGTGAGAGGTGGATGTTGAGATGGCTTTTGTCTCAGTTTTCTCTCAGCCTTATTTACTTACCTGTTGAAACAAGGTCTCTCACGAAGCTTGCATCTCACCATCTTGGCAAGGCCAGCTGCCCAGCAAGCTCCAGGGTCCACCTGTCTCAACCTTCTAGCACTTGGTGACTCATATGTGCCTGGCTTTTCTGTGGGTTCTGGGAATCTGAACACATGCCCTCATGCCTGCACAGCAAACTTTGGTAAACTGAGTCAACTTTCCAACTCGTAAACACTTGTCACAGTCTCGAGAACTGGGCCTCTTAAATTTGAGAGGTGAGGCTTATGCCTCCATTCAAAAAAGGAGAGAACAGAGAAAACACTTTCAACTGAAATCCTGCTAAATTTATAGAACCGAGACTAAGTGAATTCAAGATTCATACCCGCACACGCACACACACACACACACATATATATGTATATGATTGTAAGATTTATGGCAATGTTTGACATACTTGAGAAGGCCTGGCAGACACACAATAGAAGGATGCCAACTATATAACAAATATTAATCTATTCAAAAACATTTGATCAGGTCTCCAAATGGGACGCAACATTACTGAAAGGCCTTTCCATGGTGGTGGTGAAGATATGCCAAACCTAGAAAATGAAAAACTAAAAATTGTGGAGGGAAATCCCTAGACTTTCAGGTAGTCCCCATCATTGCCAACATCACTGCCTTGACTCAGACATGAGGGGCCTTGGCAGAGTAGCGACTGGCTTCCCCGTGTTCACAACGTAACACGGCAGAGCTAGGATTTGAACACCGGTCTGATGAGGAGGTTGGAGGAGCAAGTGAGCACTCTGTCATCTAGCTCCTAAGCTCCCTGGGCGACAGAACAGGAGATATCTGAAGATGGAGAGTGGCATTACCCTCTGACAGTCAGAACACTGAGGGCTCTAGACATGTAGCTCCAGCAACGACACACTTGATTTCATTTTATAGTCTTGCGGGGAGGAGGCTTGAATTTGGGGTACATGTGTTGTACCATTTAGACCTTACAACAGCCTCAAAGAGCAGTCAGTTATTTCTACCCCATTTACAGATAAGGACACTGAAGCAGTATGGCACTGAACACAGCAAGTAAGAGCTGTAATTCACATGGGCCTCCAGGTACAGTCAAGTTTCTCTTGAGCTCACAGACCTCTCCATCACTGTGGTGGCTGGCTGTTCCTCCCAAGAAGCAATATGCATGTTTCACAATTAGACAGATTCATTTAAAGCTGCTCATGGTCGTGCCTACCTTAAAAACCAGCACTTGGGAGGCACAGGGCAGGTACATCTCTGTGAGTTCCAGGACAGCCAGGGCTGTTACACATCCTGTCTTGAAAAACCAAAACCAAACCAGAAAAAAAAATAAAAAAATAAAAACAACAAAAACCAAAACCAAAACCAAATTCATTTAGAAGACAACTCACCAGGTACAATTCAGTCACTCATCTAATATTTATTTATTAACTACTACATGCTTGGTGTGTGTGTGTGTGTGTGTGTGTGTGTGTGTGTGTGTGTGTGTGTATCATGCACTTGCCTCTACAACATGGAAAATTTAGTTTCTCTATCATGCACATTATACTTGTCTGTCAAGATGCTACCCAGTAATTCCCAGCTAACACTAGTTCTCAGGGTGCTCTTACTTCATCATGAGGTTGACTGGAACATCTTTTCGTTGCAAGGTGATGAGATTTTCAATGAACTTCTCTGTCTTGGTCTCATTGTAGATGTGTGTGGCCTCGGGGTGTATCCCTAAGATTTCGGGAGAGTCGTCATCTGGTAGGGACTGGATAAGGTTTATGCAGTCCTGTAAGCTTGCAGAGTTGGGCACTGGCTGGTATATCTGAAAGTCGAGTTGCTTTGTTAGCTTTGCGCAAGACATCTACTACAGGTAACCCATGCAGGGAGCATCTCCTTACCACCTTTTATACAAAAAGCTCTTATTTCTATATAGTACAGACATTCTATTAAAAGCAACACTTGGGACCACTCCATTGCAAACTGTATGATACACACATGCTATTATTTTCTTGTTGGGAAAGGGGGGAGCCATTTACAGGCTAGGGGATTCTCACCTATTGCCTTGATGAAATAGACCCATAGGTAAGGGAAGCATAGGGCCTTTAGTACAACCTGTAGAAGGGAAGTGAAGGAGACTAAGGCCTGTGTCAGAAGTGTGGTGACCAGCTGTATCCCTGAGAGAGGGTAAGGCTCAGAGCACTGTGGTGTGTCACTGAAGGACATGTTGCGATGCCTACCCTGCCCATCTTTGTTTCCTGGCTGCCATCAGTGAGCACCTTGCCCCTGCCACATGCCCCGTGCTGAAACAGGCCAAAAGCAGCATGGTCAATTATGGATTGAAATCTCTGGTAATACAGGCCGAAAATAAACATTTTCTCCTAAAAATTGTTTGTCTTGGGGCTGGAGAGATGGCTCAGTGGTTAAGAGCACTGCCTGCTCTTCCAAAGGTCCTGAGTTCAATCCCCAGGAACCACATGTTGGTTCACAACCATCTGTAATGAGATCTGGTGCCTTCTTCTGGCCTGCAGGTATACATGCAGGTAGAACACTATGTACATAATAAATAAATCTTTAAAAAATTGTTTGTCTTAAGCATTTGTCAAATTATAGACATCTGTCTAGTACAGATATTAAGAATAAATGACCAGTGCCCAGGAAGAGAAATGCATATATGGCCAGGAAGCTGTGGTAGTGGCTTTCACTGAAGACCTGGTGAGGGACACAGGACACACTAGAGAACAAAGTCACTGGAAAAGACTATCAGTCAAAGAAACTAAGAGGATTCCAGTGCATAGGATGGACTGGCAAGGTGGAATGCTCGTAAAGGTTTCAGGGTTTTAAAACGATTGAAATGTAAGATGTCAGAGTATACATTTTTGTTAATGTGGTCTGTTGCAATGGAAAACAAGCTGTATGTGTTTATTATGCTACTTTATCTCCTGTTTGCTCACACACATTCAGTGTGATAATCTGCACACAGAAGCCAAACACACTACACTTACTGAACAATTTTAAAGGGTTTTCAAGGGTAATTTTAGCGACTGGCTTGAGAGTTGCCTTAGGATTTCTATTGCTGTGAACAGACACTGTGACAACTCTTATAAGGAGAACATTTCATTGGGGTGGCTTGCTTACAGTTCACAGGCTCAGTCCATTAACATGCTGGGGAGCATGGCCGGGTGCAGGAAGACATGGTGGTGGTCACATCTTGATCAGAAGGCAACAGGAAGTGGACTGTGACACCGAGTGAAGTGTCCAAGCCTGTCCCCACAGTGGTACACTTCCTTCAACAAAGCCACACCTCCCAGCAGTGCCACTCCCTATGATCTTAAGAATCTAAGCTAAATTTAAATGTTCCTTTAAGTATTTAAAAGCAAACAGAGGCTTTCAGCACCCAGTAAGAAACAGCTGCACATTGGCTGGCATGCACCAGCTGGTCTGTAGATGCTTCTGTCTTTTGTTGGTCAGTGTCATCAACAGGCTGCTCATACACATTGTTTTGGTGACTTACAAATAAGTTTCCCTCAAGAATCATTTTGTTCATCTTTCTGTATGCTCAAGATGACCTAGGTCTGACTTCTACCCCTCTTGCAGCCCTGGGCTGGTCCAGAGCCTCATCCTTCCCATCTCTTGTCCACTTACCTCTCCATGTATCATGCCCCCTCCCCACCATGGGTCAGAGGTCACAGCAAACATTCAACAAAGTACAATGCTGGTGTCTGATGGGGGAAAAGTCCTTCTGTGTATATGTTTATCTTATTGGTTGATAAATAAAACACTGCTGGCCAATAGGGAAGCAAGATAGGCAGGACTAAGAGAAGGAGGATTTTGGGAAATGTAGTAAGGAGGGTGGCCAGGTGATGCCAGGAAGGCCAGTGCATAAGGCCGGTGTCCTTGGTAAGCTAAGTCCTTATAAAAATGTATAGATTAGTAGTTATGGTTGATAATTAAGACTGAGCTAGCAAATAAATCCTAGTCATTGGCCAACAGCATTGTAACTAATATAGGACTCTGTGTGTTATTTGGGGGCCCAAAGTGGTGGCAGAACTCAGGCAGCTGGCGGAAAGAGTTATTGTTACAGGTGTCTAGCCTAGAGCTCTGCCTACAAGGTAGAGGCCTACATGGAGGACAGAAGCTAAGGGGGTAAGGAAAGGGAACACTGAGGAGATCTGGCGTTTTCTACCTTGGATGCTTGTGGCAGAGACAGAGTTCCTGCCTGTCAGCCACTGGCCCTTTGTGATTTTAGATCCAAGCCTGTTCACCGGTAGAGAGGTAAAAAGATATACCATGTTTTTTTTTGGTTTTTTTTTTTTTGTGTGTGTGTGTGTGTGTGTGTCTGTGTGTGTGTGAGTGTGTGTGAGTGTGTGTGTATGTGTGCATGTGTGTGTGTGTGAGTGAGTGTGTGTCGTGTGTGTGTGTGTGTGTGTGTGTGTGTGTGTGTGTGTGTGTGTGTGTGTGTGTGTGTGTGTGTGTGTGTGTGTTCTACCCTGTGGCCCTCAGCTTCCCTGCCTGTAAGCTGGGCAAACAGAACCTTTGACAACCAATGGGAAACACACACACGTTGGCTAGCATGCACTCTGTGGTCTGTATGTGATGCTTGCTTCTGCTTCCTGATACTCAAGGTCCTCAGAGGGCAGACACCATTCCTTACCATTGCCTGCTATATTCTGGCATTTAATAGAAAAATGGGAAGTGGAGTGGTGGTGGCACACGCCTTTAATCCCAGCACTACAAGGCAGAAGCAGGTAGATCTCTGAGTTCCAGGCCAGCGTGGTCTACAGAGTGAGGTCCAGGGCAACCAGGGCCACATAGAGAAGCCCTGTCTCAGAAAAAAAAAAAAAAAAAAAAAAGCAAAAAGAAACAAAAGAAATGCAACAATGGGAAGTTAGTTTGGTTCTGGAAGGTAACTCAAGTAATCAATGAAATTTGGTTAAACATTGAAATTTGGTTAAAGACATAGGATGCAACAAAACCTAGTTAAAAATAATTAAGAAGACACACCCTTTCTTACCTCATCACTAGAGAAACTGAAGCCAGCCTTCAGCATTTCAGGATTGCAGAATTTGTTGAAAAGGGTCTTCAGGCATTGCTTGTCCCATTTATTGGTCACTCGGCCACCATAGGTCACTTCCCCAATCAGGTAGTTCAGTTCCTTCCATGGAACTTCCGATCGGCCAAGGAGGACGCTTCCCAGGACCTTTATAGAAACCTGTGGGAAGCCCACTGTGCCTTGTGATTTCTGCATTTACTGACATTTCACACACCACTGCCAACTCTCAAGTGACCAGTTTCTCTCGGAAACAGAACGAAGCCAGGGTACAATCCTCTAATCTCAATTTCCCAGGAGGCTGAGGCAGGAGGATTATAAATTCAAGGCCAGCTTGGGCAACTTAGTTAAGATCCCGACTCAGTAGAAGAGGACTGGGGGAGCTGAAGAGATAGTTCAGGGATGAAGAGCTGCTCTTCCAGAGGACCTGGGTTCCATTCCCAGCACCCACATGGAGGCTCACAACTGTCTGTAACTCCAGTTTCAGGGGACCTGAGCCACAGACAAACACACAGGCAATACATCCCTATGCATAAAATGATAATACTAAAAAAGATTCTGGGATATAGCTTAGTGGTAGAGCACTTGCCTACTATGTGCAAGGTCCAAAGGTTTGGTCCCCAGTGCTGGAAAACCAACCAGCCAACCAACCAGGAACAGAGAGGAGTTGTCTCAGGATACGTGTTTTCCCCACCAGTGACTATGCTGCTACTGAGCTACAGCCCCTTGTAACTATGGTTGCTGCTTTAACAGACCTGCCCAGGGCACTGGACGCCAGGGCACAGAAGGATGCAGAAGGGAAGTGCTCCCTTCCCCCACCATCCCCACTCCCCAACCAAGGCCTAAAACAGCAGGTTCTTGGTGTTCTGAAAATGACCTTGGGTGGTCCTCATCTCTTTCCCTTCTCCTCCCCTGTCCTCCGGAAGAGCTGTACATACACTTAAGTGCTCTTAAGGGTGGAGCCATCTCTCCAGCCCCTCATTGCAAATACTGTCTGAGGCCTGATACTTGTGTGCTAGCTGCTTTATTACAGTTTACAACCAAATATGCCTATGTCTTACAGTTCTGGGTTTCCAGCTCTTCAGTCGTCCAGTACTCTCCCCAATTGAGCTGTTTTGACTCTGTTCCAATTCTGGGGTTCTAATTTGGATTAAGTTGTCCCCAACTCCAAGACTGTATACAGAATCTCCTAGATTCACTTTTAGAGATTTGTGTGGCTGTAAAAATATATTTAGCCTTTCTTCTAGTATGTCAACTAATAGAGTGTAAAAGACAAAGGGCCTAGTCATTTTCTTCCAGTAGGATGCTTAGTTGTACTGGTATTATTCACAAAAAAGACCCTTTTTTTTTTCTGTGTTGAAACACTTCTGTGTCATATGTTAACAGACTGACCTCATAGGTGGTGGAGCTGGAAGGGTGTTGAAAGACACAAGGAGTAGAGTTTCATTGGAGGGAACTTTGGCAGTGAATTTTTTTTGGGGGGGGGTTGGCTGGAGAGATGGCTTAAGGGTTAAGAGCACTGGCTGCTCTTCCAGAGGACCCAGGTTTGATTCCAAGCAACCACATGGCGGCTCACAACCATCTGTAGCTCCAGTTCTAGATCCGGTGCTCTCTTCTAGCCTCCCTGGGCACAAGTCCCACACATGGTACACAGACATACATGCAGGCAAAACATCCATACACAGTATATCCCATAGATTAAATACAATTATGTTAATTTTAAAAATCTATAGAGAATTGGATCTACTTCTGCATTCTTTGCTGAGTCACACTGACTTAGCTTTTCTGCTAAACCATTTACCTCAGGTTAGTGGATTTTTAGTGTATTTTGATGTCCAGTGAAGAAAAAAATTCCTTCACTATTTTTTATTTTTGAGTGTATTTATATAGCTTATTCAACATTTCCTGTTTTTGTGAATTTTTTCCAATTTTAAATTTTCTAAATTCTAATTGTAACTTCATGCTATATGTGACAGTTAATGCTGGAAGAATGGACAGTTTGCTATGTCTGAAGTCTCTGGAGAACAGGCATGTGCTAGGTTAGAGAAAGCAGGAGAGAAGAAGGGAATGTTGCCCTCGTCACTGTGCAACCCAGGCAAACTTCCCAGTGCTCTTCTGGGAACTGGGGACAGCGAGGGCACTATCTGTACAAAGCTGTCACAAGACTCCCATCCTTTTCAGTGATCAGTAGTCTTGTTCTTTTTCTTCCCAATTTATAGTGCTCTTTATGCAGGGCTGTAAATTTTTTATTTTGTTCCCATATAGTTTAAAAAAAATTCTTTTTACCACTACTATTATGGGTGTTTATTGCTAGAGAAAATCTATATATTTAACATTTTCCTTGGCCCTTTTACCAATTCCCTACTCCTAGTAAAGCCTCTTTTAACTTCTTTTCGGTAGTGTCTAAGATTTTCAAGACATACAAGTGTTCTTCAGGTAAGCAGCCTGAGGTGGCCTACCTGTGAAGATGCTATTCTCTTGACCCAGAAAACCCTACAGAATCATGTAAATCAAGAAATCCCCAAACTGTGGGGATGGACGCAGGGTCGGTGGCCAAAAAAGAATGCTGAATTTCTTGCTGCATGTGCTTAGAGATGCAGAGAGCAACGCTGGACCAAGGGCTTAGAGGTAGATTCTCTGGTCATTGAACATCCACGTGAAGGCAGCACCCAAGATACGCTGATGAATTTACAGTTTGTGGCTGGATTAACCCACACATGAGCTCCCCTGCCACACTGAGGAGATCCTCACTAAAAAGGAACAAACTGTTCCAAAGCCGGAAGAGGAGGGTGCGCAGAAGAAAAAGACATCCCAGAAGAAACTGAAGAAACAAAAGCTTATGGCATGGGAATAAATTCAGCATAAAATAAATGCAGATAAAAAAAAAGGCACAAGTATGTTATTCACTGATGTGCTAGGGAGCAGGCACAGGACCTTGTGCACACTACATTTAATGTCACAAGTGTAGCAATCTCTTCATTTTGCTTCATGATATTTGTTTATTATTTCTCTTATTTTTTGATAGTTTTCTCAAGTTGTTACTTCTTTCCAGTTTTCTTCTCTGTTAAATTGAAGACATAATGGGCAGGCTATAGCTCTGTATTCTAGCATGGCACTCACGCATGAGATCCCAGGAATAATGAGCTTTACTGTGCCGTGTGTGGCTTCTTGTGAGGGTGGAGACGCCTGATGGATACAGAGACACAAAAGAATGGAAGACCTCCTGCCCAGGGTGGGCCTACTGATATAGGTACAACCAAGACTTTCCTAGAAAACAAACAATCCCCACCCCCACCCCCCGAACAAAACAAAACAGCAACAACAACACAACAACCCAGAAACAGCCCAACATTCTAACACCAGAAGCCAACTGCAAGGAAAAACTTGGGAATTTCATTTTGTTGTTGTTGTTGTTGTTGAGACAGGGTTTTTCTGTGGGTATGGCTGTCATAGAACTCGCTCTGTAGAACAGGCTGGTCTCAAACTCAGAGATTTGCCTGCCTTTGCCTCCCAAGTACTAGGATCAAAGGCGTGTGCCACTGCTGCCCAACAACTTTGAAAAAGTTTAAGCAGACATTATTGTCCTTTCTGTCTGTTAGCAATAAAGAAAACATCCCAACCGGCTGGTAGTGGTGCATGCCTTGAATCCTTGCACTTGGGCGGCAGAGGCAGGTTGAGCTCTGTGAGTTCAAGGCCAGCCTGGTCTACCTAGTGAGTTCCTGGTCAGCTAAGGCTACATGGAGAAAACCCTGTCTTGAAAAAACAAAACAATAAAAAAGAAAATATCCTGCCCAAAAGCACAAGGTACTATAAAAAAGATAAAAAGATAATAATCTACAGAAGATTATTAAGTTGCCAAACCCCAGTGACTTAGGGTAATCCTTCTTGCTTTAAATGAATATTTATAGTGATTTATATGTCAGGAACCGAACAAAATGTTTCACCTATATTCACTGAGTTGTGCCCCCCCCCTTTTTTTTAAAAAGATTTCTATTTTTATTTTTTTACGTGTATGGGTGTTTTGCCTGCATATGTTATCTGTGTACCACGTGTGTACCTGATGTCCACAGAGGCCAGAAGAGGGCCTCATATCCCCTGAACTCTAGTTACATGTGGTTGTGAGCCACCACATAGGTGCTAGGAATTGAACTCAGGTCCTCTGGAAGAACAGCAGCCAGTGCTCTTAACTGCTGAGCCATCTCTGCAGGCCACGGAGCTGCATCTTGTAATGACTCCATGGGTATGTACTTCTGGGGTTATCTGACTGTCTGGAAGAGGAAATCATGTATAGCCCAAGCGGAGGGGCTGACACTGCATTCCAGAAAGCTGACTCTGGAGTCCCCATTTCCTAGTTACACAGTGCATTTTCTTCCCACCTAGCAGCATGCAGACGCAGACTAGCTTAGCTCAGCTCTCTGTTACTAGCTCCTGCCTGCCTTCCAGAGCCCACGCTCACCGCCAAGTCTGAAGAACTGAATTGATAAGGGACATTCCAGCCTAGTGTTCCGTAAATTTTCCTCTCATTGATCACAGCATTGAAGAAACAGAGGCTGAAGAGAATCTTTTTCCACCACGGTCCACAATCATTCTTATCAAATATCTCTTCTGTTACTTCTCCACTCCCTCCGTATCCAAACGTTTGAAGTAAATTGCTTTTCAATCCCTGGGGAGGCTCCACAGCAATCTGTAAAAGAAAAGGGAGTGGAAATGCCAGGTGGCTCTAAGACGGGAACACGCCCTGGTGGGCCCCACTTCTCACAGCACTGGTGACGCACATGGCCAAGAGCTATTTCCCAGGACCACTGCCAAGTCCAAATCTAGGCTATTTGTTCATTTGCCCTCTTGAACATCCTCTGTAAAAGGATTCAGATTTTCTATCACCTTCTAATTCATATTTTAATTTTGAGACCTGGTCTCACTCTGCAGCTGTGGCTAGCATGGATCTTACTATGTGGCTGAGGCTGGCCTTGAGCTCACAAAGGTCTGTCTGTCTAAGTCATATTTTAAAGACAAACCACAGCCCTGGGGTGGTAACTGTTACTGTGACCACAAGCATAGTGTTCGGGAGGGACAGAGTTTGCTGGTGTGCTCCATCACTGGGAGCTAAGGCCGTGGCAAGGGAAAGGAGCTGCCAGACAACAGCCAGGTAGCATACACAGGGAGCCAGACCACAGGAAATAGGACATAGCCAATCACATTAGAAGGGAGAGTGGTGACTTTGTGTTATTGAATTCCGATTGCCTTGAGAATCCAAGCTGCTGCCTGCTTCACCAGAGTAGCTGAGACGATTAAATATGAGGGTTTTATTATGTGTGCATGGCTGCTAGTCTGAGATAGCAAGCGTCTTAATCAGTACCTGCTTACAGTGTGTGTGTGTGTGTGTGTGTGTGTGTGTGTGTGTGTGTGTGTGTGCGCGCGCGCGCGCGCGCGCATGTGAGTGTATACACACAAGCTAGGAATATAATTGATTTAAACATTGGCAAATAGAGTGCCTTGTGTAATTCTATGATGTATAGTACATAAATACTGCGTGGCTATGCAAATACATTATATGGGGAAGTGTATGTGTGTACATGAACATGAGATTTCTTAGTTCAAGATCAGACTTATTATTTACGTGTGACTCATGTCAGGGGGATGCAGTGGGAGTCATGTAGCTATGCATGATGGGACTTCAAGATGTCACTTGAGCATATGCAGATGGCTGGCATGGTAGCCCCTCTTGGTTTACAGTAACAGGGAGACTTTTCCTTGGGGAAGGAGGGAGGTCTCTAACCATGGCTCTGTTTTGAGATAGGCCTGGAGCTCCCTATGTAGATACAGATGAAGCGGGCCTCAAATTTACAGAGATCCACCTCCTGCCTTCTCTCCCTGATGCTAGGGTTAAAGGCATGCACCACCGTGCCCAGCTTGATAGATAGTGCAATTAGAGCAATGGACCTAATGGAAAACAAATGTCCTTGAAACTCTATGCCCTCTTTATTCCTACTGCCTCCCAACTTCTCCTCCTGGCCACAGGCAACAGGCCACTCGTGGTCATAGTCAGCCTGGTCTTGGGAAGTAAACAGGGCATCTGAAGTCACAGGCTGAAAGTCTCTTGGGTTTCTCTGTCTGCTCCAGGGCAGGGCTGCTGGGAAGTGACTCTGGGAGAATGGAAGCAGTAAGGAGCAGTGGTGCAGGAAAGCCCTTCTAGTTTTAGGAATGCTGACTGAGTGTGCCCTGCCTGTGTCTTCACTGGTTTCTCTGTCATTTGAAGTCTGTCTTTAACAGGACGAACCACGTCTTCATTGTTGGAATTCACAATTCAGACAAAATCCACAATTAAGGCTAGTTTAGCAAACAGTTTGTTTTCCTTCTGTTAGAACTTTCCAGAGAGTTAATGAGCCATACAGTGGTTAAGAGGAACAGAAATAAGAAAATGCCACACAGTTGGGTGTAGTGGCACATACTCAAGAAGCTGAGGTGGGGGATCATTTGGGCTCAGGAGTTCAAGGCCAGCCTGGGCAACATAGCAAGACAGTGTTCTTGAGGGGAAAAAAAGTAGAAGGCATAAAGGAAAAAGCTATGCAGATGTGTGCATCTTGGTTTTCAACAACTGGAAGATGAGCATCCTTTTTGAGAAGCAAGTGTCAGAGCTGGGAGTTATTGCAAGCAGGTCTACACACTATGGTAGCATCCTCCCTACCCTGCAAAAGCTGACAGTGAGTACACCATGCATGTTCTTCTTAATTTAGAATAATGAGGGATGATGCTTGATAGTCAAGCAGGACCTGCCAGTCAACACTGAAATCCTGCCAGTTTGTTCTTACCTTCACACCCTTCTGAAGAATAGGAATTGGGAAAGAACTATATGATTTTGAGCTTAACCAAAGCCTAAAATCAGGGTCCATCTCCATATCTGGATTACTAAATCTGCAAAATAAAAATGTAAACATTAAAATTTTGTGCAATATCTTCTCAGAGCCAGAACATTTTAATGTTTCTGTGACCTTACGGATCATTTCAATGCCAAAGACACCACTCACAACAAGGGCTTTGATGGTGTACAAAGAATTGTAAAAGATCCATCAGTTTCTATTCCCCTTAAGTTAAAAAAATCATAAATACATAAACTTGAGAAAACTTCTGTAACATGACCTGAGCGGAAGCTAGGTGTGGCAGTGCATACCTCCCACTGGGAAGGAAGTGGGGGTCACAAGTTCAAGGGCAGCCTTTCCTACATAGCTATCTCAAAAAGCAGGGTGGGGAGTGGGCAGGTCAAACTGGGATACCTGAACAGCCAAGTAAGTGACAGTAGGACCTGGCTAAATGAAATGAATGCAATAGGGCAGCAGAAACTTTACTATCTTCCTAGTCTGCATGGCCAGCATGTGGGGTGAGGGTGTGGCGGTCCCATCTTGTCATTCTTCTGCTTTGACTGCCTGAAAGGAGGCTTCAGTTAGACTGTAACTGCTCAACTTAGATTCCTAAAGTCTCTCCTAAGACAGTTGGTGCTATTCTCAGACCGTTACTCTTTTAGCAGTTTAAAAACTATTGAGTGAAAAAAAAAAAAAAAGATGACACTTGTGAAATCACCCAAGAGTCAGAAGGCAAAGATTAATTAGTAATATGGCATTTAATAGATGCAGACCTGTGGAACATAAGTGGCTCAAACATTTCTAATTTCACACATTGCTGACTCTTCCCTCATGGTGAGTTATAGCAATTGAGCGTCAAAATGCAGTCAACAAGAAGGCTGAGCCTCTGGAAATCAAGTGTGTCAGTGCTGTGGGGAGTGCAGCCTTGAAGTGATTCCAGCTGGGGGAGGTCGGAGCAGGGTAAACATAGGCCATAAAGGGAAACACTGTTGAGGGCTGTGTATGAGGTCCTGTGCTAAATAAGGATGAAAATGCCATCTAAATAGGTGTTTAAAAGGAAAAAAGAAAAGTCCGTGTGCTCTCAGGACAGTCATCAGGGCAGCGGTCAGGGCAGCTGAGGGTTTTCTAGTGGCCAGATACATGGCTTCCGCTTTGCTGTGCACACTATGTGTTGCTCTTGGCAGTGTGACTTCACAGTGCGGATAGTTAGTTTAACCCTGGACAGACAGACGTGGACTTACGACTCTATGATAGCGCAGAGTCTTGGCATGAAGGATGCTGCAAGGTGGCAGTTCTGGAGGAAGACCCACTGATTCTTTTGGTTCATAGCGTTAAAAATGAGCTCTTCTGCTTTGGCCGCCTGGCCTCGGCCCAGGGAAATCATGGTCACCTTTGGACTTGCTTCTTTTAACTCTTGTGCGAATCTTAGGAGGATATTGTTGAGGTCAATCCCTGTAGGACATGCAGAGGTGTCTCAAGCTGTAAGCTCACTTGGTTCCCTCAGCAGATGCAAGCCTGCGCTTACTGCTGGGGTGGTGGGAGACGATACAGCGGCAGGAGAATGACTCAGGTTTTGAAGTGAAAGCCTACATTTCAAAGTGTGTCCCCACCACTTGCCGGCCTGTGATACAAGTTTCCCAACATCTGGGAATGGTAGCTCCTTATGAGCACGACTGTTGGGCTGTCATGCCTGTGTCTACTTGTCCCTTTGTCCTTTGGTAATGGATACAACAACCGCTCATGAAGGCTGCTAACCCAGCTAAAACACCATGTTTTAAAACATGATGAAGAGAGGTGTGGGAATGGAGACTTGGTGCAGGGGTATCAGCAGCAAAAGTGTGTGAGGAAAGGGTGTGGTCAAACCTTAGCTATCTCTCCTTGAGAGAGGACTGCTGTTGACTTGAGGGCTGGCCAGCGGCCTGCTGCCATGCAGGAGGAGGGCAGCATCTTTACAGGTGTCAGGTACATATCTGGTACACCATGATCTGGCAGATCTGGTGAGAAGACCCAAGGAGAGACGGTGCCCAGGACAAAGCCTCTGCCTGTGGAGTCTGAGTAGGGGGAGTGGTGAATTCTAAAGACACATTGACTTGGAGGGTGTGGAGCTGAGGAAAACTGAAAGGAGGTGCTATCCTTAGGGCCCGCAGAGCTAAGGCAAGGGACAGGGGTGGGAGTGTGTAGGTCAGAGGTACACAGCCCACTTCTGATAGTTGCCTTTAAAAACAGAAACCAGACAAAGTTTTTTTTTTTTTTGGTTTTTTGTTGTTTTTGTTTTTTTCTGAGCCAAATGTGAAGGACTATGGCTTAGGAACTGATGGACATGACCCTAACAAACATGTTCCACCACAGAATGGGATAGGACCTCTCAAAGATCACTGTGAATGCAAACAGTCAATAAATTTAAGGGTGGAGCCCCAACTTGTTTTTTTTTTTTTATGGGCTTGAAAATAGTTTCTACAAAAAAATGAACTCTAATACATTTTTTCATCTTGATTTATATTTTTAGAAAGATTCATCCTGCATATGGTTTAAAGTTAAAATCCCTTTTCAAAGATGTTAGAAGGGTACGAAGCTTTAAACAGAATAACTGGACACAGGCTCTGTTTCTCCACATCCCCTTTTTTGGCTGGCATGGGGGAGGGAGGTGGTGTTTTCCAGATAAGGTCATGTAGCACAGGCTAGTCTAAAAAACATTCAAAACAGAAGTTGATCTCGAATCTACAATCCTCTTGTCCCCACTAAAGGAGTGCTGGGTACCACCCTGAGTTTACGGGGTGTTGGGGCTGTGCCCTTGGTCACAGGTAGCTCACCATAGGAGTGAATGAGGATCAGCGGTGTCTGAGCTGTGGACTCTTTATAGTATTCTTTCAGATTAACTGTAGTCTTGTGGATATATTCACCTCCCATTTTTTCAGTTATAAACTTTTTTACTGAATTCTCTAAACGGTCTGGCCGAAGAATTTTAATCTGAAAAATACAATGAAGACAAGGTAAATTTAAAATCTACACAGAGGACTATTCCCAGTGGTAAAAATGAAGTGTTCTGGCTCTAGCCAGAGTTTCCTGAAGTGCTGTTAACAAGACAGCAGGTGGGGTGGGGGGCACTCCTGACCATTGGTTGGTGTGGTGGTTTGAAAGGAAATAGTCCCCAAAGGGAATAGCACTATTAAAAAGTGGAGCCTTGTTGAAGTAGGTGTGGCCTTATTGGAGAAAGTATGTCATTGTATGTCACTGTGGGGGTGGGCTTTGAAGTCTCCTATGCTCAAGATACCACCCATTGTCTCAGAACACTTCCTATTGCCTGCCAATCAAGAAGTAGGACTCTCAGATCCAGCACCATGTCTGCCTGCACACCATAATGATGGACTAAACCTCTGAACTGTAAGTGAGCCACAATTAAATGTTTTTCCTTTATAAGAGTTGCCATGGTCATGGTGTCTCTTCACAGCAATAGAAACCCTGACTAAGACAGTTGGTTTCCCCCTGTCCAGCTACCTTGTGTTCCTACGAAGCTCTTCCCTACTCCACAAAGAGAGCTTGGTTTGGCTACACAGGTACACACTGTGATCTCTGGCTTTGAAAAAGGACACTTTTCCTGGGTTCCTCCTGCTCTGCTGTCATCTCTATAGCAAGAAGAACCCATATAGTGTGGGGTTAGAAGATGCAAGATAACCCAACTGGAAGACAATTAATCCTCCATTCAGAAGACAAAAAACAATGTCATAGTCTGTAAGTTTAAGTGGGACAGAATACAGGGCTGGGAGAGCTTTGGACATGTGACCCATGTTGGGCACACATACAGTGCATGGATAGTGGACACAGAACTTCCCTGTGAAGACTGCCTCATACATCCTACTTACATGATACATGTCCACATGAGGACCATGAAGTGTGTTCTGGGAAAGTCCAGCATCCCTGCATAGAGGGCAAGTCTGAAACTGTCCGAGAATGGACTAGGCAATTCTATTACTCTAGAGAACCCTGACTAATACACCCCTCTTTTCCATCCACTGACCATGGACCGAAAAGCCGCTGAAATTCAGCCCAAATAAGCCTTATAAGTTGATTATCTTAAGCATTTTGCTACCTTAACAAATCTGACTGATATACACCTAATTCCATCCTGAATCTCCTAAACCCCAAGCCAGATTCTAACACGACTGAGAGGTTGGAGCTGTGTAAAATGCTGCCTTCGAGAGTACCACTTGGCTGAATGTGGCTTAGCTGTTGAGTCACTCACATGGCCTCTGGACATTAAAGACAGGAATCAGACCTATTACCTGTCATAACCAGATTGGGTAGCCATTGCTGTCTCCCTAAAGGACAGGGCCTCTCCTTGTAATTTTAGCCCAGAGGAGAAGGGCAGAAAGTGAGCTTGTAGACAGGGCGTATCTCAAAAGAACAGGGAGATAATGGTGGCACTGGGCAACTCAGTTCATCCCTCAAGGCTTCGTCTTGTCTACAAAGGATGAATGTGGGGGGGCACAGGACCACCCTGTGATGAACTATTAGGGTGGGATGCTGGTGCCTCCCACTACACCAAGGTACAGTAAATCACAGCTTGAAGAAGTCAGCATATTTTGCTTATAAAATTTTAATTTTGAGGGGTTCAAACTACCAATAAACTTACTTGAAATACTTAGAATCATAATCTTTTGTCTTAGTTCATCTTACCAAGATAAGTCTTTGAAATGGAGTGAGTTTTTCCCAAGGAAAATTTAAAGGTTTAAATATTTCATCATTTTCATTCAGAAGTTCAACTAGATAGATACCATCAAGAGAAAGAGACTGCAATTAATAACCAGACAGCGGTGAAATTCAGTCATAAAAAAGAAATACGGTTGGCTATATTTAGGATAACTTATTAGTAAGTGTTATTCCTAGGATTTGGGGCATTGATATCCTTTACCATGAAGCAGACGCAGGCCCAAATGATGTGAACAGGGATGTAGCCGGCAGGATGCAGCTAGGGACATAGGAACAGAGCTGCAAAAACTGAAGGAGAATGAGAAGCAGAGGACCAGGCAGGCCCTCAGCATCCGCTCTCTCAAGTGAGCTCCAATGTATAGTTGAGAGATTTTTACTCACAACACCTAAAACAGATGGGGAGGTAAGAACTCCCAGAAGCTCAGATAGGATTACCAAATTTTGAGAATTTACTCAGTTATTTAATTTTTCACACTGACTCCTCTCTCTGTGGTGATGCAGGCTTGCTTGCAAAGTGGGGACGCCCTCCAGGCCTTATTTCCAGCCATAGCTGTTGTTGTTCCTAATTTCATTGCTTCCCTGGTATTTCCCCAATGACTAAACTTTACATACAACTTGGATTATAAAGCAAATATATATTTTGATTTGAAAAAAAAAATCCCACGGGTATGTGTAAATTCAATCACAAGTGATAAATTCGGAGTTATTTGCAAAATAAAAAGATCCTCACTTTACAAGAAGGGTTAACCGAGTTCCTTTACATAAAAGTTATTGATTTTTGCCCTCTATTAAGATATAGTAGGGAATACAGATATTTAGTGATAAATGCAAATAAATGAAGAAACAGTGATCCACAAACGAAAGTGCATGGGTGAGTGGGGCTTTTTCATTACAAGTGGACAAGGAAGGAGGTAGAGAAAATAGACAAAACTCATGAACATCTTGCTGCCTGTATGCTGCAGTTTCTATCAACAAATAAGTGATAATCAGATTTAGAAACATACACAAAATGACTCATATACATTAATAGTATTCTTATGAACAATCAAAATGGACATAAGCAGTTCATTTAAAAATGAATAAAGTATATGTATGAATAGGCAGATCAACTCACCGATAGTGCTTTAGAAGATACTAATACGGCAATTAAAATTGAAGTATTTTGAACTTTTCAGGTTGGTACAACTCAAAAGAGATCAAGCCTTCCGTTAGAAAATGGGCAGTTGGGCGTGAGAGATGACTCAGTGGTTCAGAGCACACACTGCTCTTCCAGAGGACCCAAGTTTGAATCCCAGCACCCACATCAGGTGGCTCACAGGCACCTATTAGTTTGAGCTCCAGGTACCTCTGGCCTCTGTGGGCACTTGTAGTCATGTGTATATACATGCCTTAATACACATATACTTAAAGATAAAAAAAAATATTTTAAAAGGCTAGGCACGCACACTGCTGGTGAAAATACATAATTGGGGTGAAAAAAAAAAATTTTTTTTTTTTTTTTTTTTTTTTTTTTTTTTAAGAAATCAACCTGGCAGGGACTTCTCACATGACAAGTGTTTCCTCTGTTCGGTATTTCTACTTCTGGAATTCTCTTTCTGACAGAGAGGAAGTATGTGTGAGAATCCTGATGCTATAGGAATACCTTATGTGCATAAGAACAAAACTCTGCAAGCACAAATGGAGAAAAATGTGGCAGGAAACAAACTAGGCTGTGTCCCAAGTAGGGCATTTCATAGTGGAAAGGACGAGAAAAAAGGAAGTGGGGTTCAAAGCAGAAAGAGAAAAGGAAAACTAGACAAACGGCAGCTCCTGAAAGATCTGTGTGCGCCAGCCTGTGGTCACGCACATCTTTAAACCCAGCACTCAGGAGGCAGAGGCAGGCAGATCTCTGAGTTCGAAGCCAGGCTGGTCTACAGAGTGAGTTCAGGAGCCAGGACTATACAGTGAAACACTATCTCGAAACAAACAAGCAAGCAAACAGATCCATTTCCTGTGTAGTCCTTCCCTGGGCTTGTTATGTTTTTCATGGGTATCTTTTTCTTTCTTTTTTGTGGTTCTGGGGATTGAACCCAGGGGCCTTGACACGTTGGGCAAGTGCTCTCCCACTGGGCTGTATGCCCAGCTCCTGTGTAACTTTTAGAACGTGTCTACTACATAAAATGAGGGGCCTGTGAAGGTTCCCTCAGATGCAAGGTTCAGAACCAGTGTGCTATAATGACAGGCCGACATACTTGATTTTTCCAAAGTCCAGAACTCACACAAATTTCTCACCTATAACAGTGAAATTCCTAAAAACCACTTCCTTATTGTGAGAATGGCATTGACTCAAACATGCCACACAGAGCAAACATAGCAATGCCCCTCTCCTCATTCCCATTTCCCCCCTTTCCCAACATCTCTGGTGGTCCCAGAACTTGCTTTGTAGACCAGGCTGGTCTTAAATGCACTGAAATCTACCTGTCTCTGTCTCCCAAGTGCTGGGATTAAAGGTGTGTGCACCACCGCCCTGCTCTTTTTTTTTTTTTTTTTTTTTTTTTTTTTTCAAGACAAGGTGGTTTCTCTACGTAGCCCTGGCTGTCCTATAGACCAGACTAGCCTTGAATTCAAGAGATCTGCCTGCCGTTGCCCTCAAGTGCTAGGCATGCCTCTCAGGATCTACCTCTATACATTGAAAATCCACACACACACACACACACACACACACACACACACACACACACACTTATTGAGGTTAGGCTAAAGTGCTAAGGTCCCTACCGTCTTGTGACGATCTGGGACTTTGCAGAGGTAAAGCCTCTTCTGAGGCGAAGGGTGTGCTCATTAGAAAGTACACAGCCTTAGTGTCCCTAAAGGTGTTCCATTGCTGCTCGTTTGACAAGAGCGATCTGCAGAGAAGGGAGAATGGCTCCATCTGGTTGCTGAGGTACTGGCATTGCTCCCATCTCAGGTCTGTCACCCATTGAAGATGCTCCTTCCTACGTATTTCAAATATACCTGAGAGAGAAGGGAAAACAGTCGCAGGAGAGAGAAATCCTTCACCTTCTGGTGACCCATTCCAGAGTAGATAATTGACAAGCATTTGTTGTTGAGCAAAGAGCCACTTCATGTAAAATCAGCTGGAGGGGCTGGGGCCATAGCTCAACAGGATGCTTGTCTGGCATGTGTGAGCCCATGAGTTCTGTCCCCAGCATCGCAATGAATAGACAGACACATTAACTAGATAAGCTTGTGTTATGTTGTTTCTTCTAGAACAAAACTGACTATTTAAACCATTTTCAGCACAGAACTCAGTATTACGTACATCTCACTGTGTAAAGCAGATCTCCAGAGCTGTTCTGTTCCCAGACACAACTTCTCTTTCCTTTGCCTTCCTCCGAGCTCCTGGTGGTCAACTATCTATTTTTATGAACTGCCTTCCTCAGACACCTCACAGGAGTGGTGTTTGTATTTTTGTGACTGTCTTATCTCCTTCAACAAATGTCCTTAAGGCTTAACCATGCAGTAATGTGAAATGGGACTTCCTTTCTTTCAAATTCGATTCCAATTTAAAATTTGGAATTTTAAACAAAATTTATGTCAAATTTTGTTTACCCCTCCATTGATTGGTAGACACGCAGCTGCAGACACCCATTAGCTTTTGCAAATGTGCAGCTGTGATCGTGGCCGGGCAAGTGCCTTCCAGATTTGCCACAATCTTTTGGATGTATACTTGGAGTGGGATTGCTGGATCATTTAATAATAATTTAATAATTTAATGTTTTGAAGAAATGTCATTCCATTTTTCATATTTGCAATTCCACCAGGAGTACATAAACATTAAAGATATCACGGCCATGCCAAGGGTTCCTCACAGGTGCATGTGTAAAAGGGTGGCCTTAGCCAGTTGCTCTGTTCTGGGAGGTTTGGAACCTAGAGGAAAGGGGATCCTGGTGTGGTGGGTGGGCCTTAGAGGTGATGATCCACTTCTGGTTCCAGCCCAGGCTTTCTGCTTCCTGATCCAGTGTGTGAACGAGCTGTGTTGAAAATCCCTGCCCTCATCCTTAGACAAATAGCCCCTGAAAGTGTGAACCTAAATAGTTCCTTCTTTCCTGAAATTATTTCCTTTAAGCATTCCTGTAGTACTAGTGACTAATACCAGTGACATAAACTTTTTATTACCTGTAAGGATTTTAATAAAAAGGTGTGTGTGTGTGTGTGTGTGTTCATGAGGATGTGCTTGTATGTGTGTATACATACATGCAGTGGTCAGAGATCAATGTTTGGTGATTTTGCTCAGTTACTCTCCATCTCTGTTTTTAAAACTGCATTTCTCAGTGAACTGGAAGCTCCCTGAGTGGCCCCATCAGCTTCCAGTGGTTCCAAGCACCGATCATTGTACCCGTTTTTTAAGGTGGGTGCCTCAAATCTAAACTTAGTCCTTCATGTTTGCACAGAAGGCACCTTACCAACTGAGTCATCATCTCCCTGGCCCTCTGCTAGGACTTTTATAGTTTCAGGGCTTACATTTAACCCATTTAGATTTAATATTTGTATTTGGTACAAATAAAGGTCCAACTTCATTCTTTTATATGTGCTTATCCAGTTTTCCTAACATAGGTTGGTGATTATTTGAACACAAATGTATGTGTAAACTTGTGGGATCTTTATTCTATGCCCTTGACTTTTTAAAAAAAAGATTTTCATTTTAAAATGGTGTGTATATGTGAATGTCTGCAAGGGAGAATGTGCACATGAGTGCCATTGCCCACAGAGACCAGAAGAGGGCATCAGGTCTCTTTGGGCTCGAGTTATAGGTGGTTGTGAGCTGCCTAATGTGGATGCTGGGAACTAAACTTGGTCCCTTCTTCAAGAGCAGTATGTGCTTTTAACCAATGAGCTCTTTCCAGCTCCTCATTTTGTCTGTTTTTTATGTGAGTATAACCTACTTGTTTAATAGCAATGCAGTTTTATAACGTGTTCTGAAACGAGAAAGTATGAGACATCCACTTTGGTGATCTTTTGAAAAGCAGTTCTTGAGGTAGAAATTTATTTTGTTGACCTGAGATCTTTATTTTTATTTTTTAAATGGTCGGTGTGCGTGTCTGCCTGTATGAGGGTCCGTGCATGTGTGTGCAGGTGCTGGCAGGCATTGCATCTCCATGGAACTGGAGCTATAGGCAGTTGGGAGCTGCCTGACGTGGGTGCTAGGAACTGAACTTGAGTCCCCTGTAAGAGCATATATGTTCTTAACTACTAAGCCATGTCTCCAATCCTGAGAGCTTTCTGTTTTTATATATTTATAGTCATACATTTCCCTCTTAGCATTGCTTTTGCTACATCACAGAACTTAAAAGCTTCAGTCATTGAGTGACTGTGTGTTTTATGTATTGTTCTGTTGCTGTGAAGAGACATGGTGAACAAGGTAACTCATAAAATAAAGCATTTAATTAGGGGCTTGCTTACAGTTTTAGAGGGTTAGTTCATGGTCATCATGGTAGGAAGCAGATAGGCATAGAGCTGAAGCAGTAGCTAAGAGCTTTACATCCTGATCACCAGACAGAGAGAGAAAGAGATGCTGGGCCTGGCATGGACTCCTGAACCCTCAAAGCCCACCCTGAGTGACACAGCTTTTCCAACAAGGCTACACCTCCAAATCCTTCCCAAACAGTTCCACTAAGGACTGAGCATTCAAACATACGAGCCTCTGGGTGCTGTCCTCATTCAGACCACCACAGACAGGCATGCTTTTTGGCTCAAGTTTTCAATAGTAAGTGAAGAACATTATGCAGGAAGGGGCCTGATGGCATTGTAGTCAATGTGGGTGTCCCTAGTCACTACTGATAGGTAATCTGCTTTATATTAGGACCACCATAATCTTACTAGTTGTGATTTATTTACTCATTCAGTCACTCACAAAAATGACTTAGGAGGATCATGAGTTCTAGGCTAGCCTGGCTATATAGTGAAATGTTTTCCCCCAAACAAACAAAGAACATGCTGACTGCATGTTCACACATTTGTGAGTTTGACATAGAATTTGACCTCAATCACAGAAGTAAACCTCAAAATCATTTAGCATTTTACAAGGAAACATATGCCAGTGGCTTAAAAAAAAAAAGGAAAACATATCCAGAGAAATTATTTTTACTTACTATTCAATCTAGTCTTGGTTAGTATATTTCTAATATTTGTCAAAAGGCCAGAGTATAAAAAGATGTTCCATTCTTCTTCTGGAAGGAATTCTATGTCATCATCGGCCACCCGAGTGTCACTGACACTATTTCTCATGATTGTAGTGCAAAGCCGGAAGGAGAAGCAGAGTTTATGCTCATTGAATAGAGCTGAAGAGGCCGCCTGCAGAAACCACAACTGTTACACAAGCCCGAGAGGCAGTGCTGGCAAAACTCATGGTAAAAGGACAGCTTACCTTAAATATGTTTCTTGTCAATGTATCTATTACGTCTTTACTATTCTTGGATAAGGGAGTTCTCCTACTTTCTGGATTCTGTTCATCTGAGATACTTGAAGAAGTCTCATCATCATCATCATGTTTTTCCTTGGATGTTTTGTCCATTTTCTGATCATGCTTGGTTTTGGAAACTGTTGAGAAAACAAAAACCTGCCGGAACCACTGCAGGGAGAACTGGTACATATAGTCTACCTGCGTGAGACTGGCCATCAGGAAGTAGAGCAGAGCGCCCCGTGTGGCTATGGGGAGGTAGCTCTTGCGGATTGCTTCAATTTCACCTTCTGCCTTTTCTGTTTCTTTGATACGTTTGGAAATTTCATTTGAAGTCATTTTGGATTTTCTTAGGGTTTCTACAATTTCTTCATCATCTAATACATTTCCTAACAAACAAAAAACAAAATTAAACAAACCATTGAAATGACAAGTAGCTGTTTTCCGCTCCGGGTACTGTAAGAGTTTATACTTGTGGGTTTTTTTTGTCAGTTTTATGTCCAGTTGGGTTCTTCTTTTTCTTTTAATAGTAAAGCAGGGTTGGAGGTTTTCTTAAAGGAATTTTGACTGAAACATAAGGTTTAGGATAAAGAGCTAGAAAAGAGAGACTCAAGTGTGGGCATGGACTTCAGATAGGTTTAAAATGATTAATCCTACCCCCCCCCCAGGGTCTCTCTGTAGCTTTGGAGACTGTCCCAGAACTCCCTTTGTAGATCAGGCTGGCCTTGCACTCAGAGATCCACCTGCCTCTGCCTCCCGAGTGCTGGGATTAAAGGTGTGCGCTGCCCGGTTGATTAATTAAATATTTCTAAGAAGTAGGATTGACAGTAATCAGGCCCCACTTCTCACTCCCTTTTCTCAATTCTGTTTGTGAATTCCATTTTTATTACAGGAGCACAATAGGTAACAATTTCATCATAAAGAATACTTTGACCTTACACACACACAGACAGATACAGACACACCTACACCCACAGACACAGACACACGCACATAGGCAGGCAGGCAGGCAGGCAGGCAGACAGACACACACACACACAGGCTAAGGATGTAGCTCAGTGGTTGGAGTATTTACCTGTACGCACAAGACTCTGGGTTTGATCCCTAGCCCCACCCCTAATATCAAGCATACTATTATTTCGTGTAATACACTCTGCTATTTCCTTTTGACCAGTGAGGCTCATTCTTCAATGTTATCTGACTGCAAAAGTCTTTTGAGCAAGCACCATGTTAGACAGACTGAAATTCTTCCCACTTCAAATATATCAAGGGAGCTCTAAGATCTTCCTTATAAACCATTTTTCTGTCTGTCTGTCTGTCTTTCTTTCCTCTCTCTCTCTCTCTCTCTCTCTCTCTCTCTCTCTCTCTCTCTCTCTCTCCCTTCCTTCCTCTCTTTCTTTCGTTCTTTCTCCCCTCCCTCCCTTCTTCCTTTCCTTCTTCCCCACCCCCTTTCTTGAGAACAAGTTTTGCTATGTAGATTAGGCTGGCTTCAAATTCAGTGATGCAAATGCCTCTGCCTTCCAAGTCCTGGGATTGAAAGCATGTGCCACCACACCTGGCCTTTTTTAGTTACATTTTTAAAGAACTATTATGGGTGCTAGAGATGGCTCATCCATGAAGAGCATGCATTGCTCTTGTAGAGGACCCAAGTCCTGTTCCCAGCACTCATGCCCCATTCCTAGCATCAACATTGCGGGGCTCAAATCTCCCTAGAAGTCCAGCTCCAGGGGATCACATATTGTGTCTCCTAATGAGACACAAATTCAAACTTGAAGACAGTTTAGGGTCAGATAAACTGTGTTTTCTCCCCAGTTGACTTAGGTGTAGTTGTATCAGTGTGAGCCAGGAAGAAGTTGACATAAACTTATGTTTTATTGCTACAAAAATATTCTAGATTTTCTTCTAGCAAGAGGAGAGCAATTTTGACTTCTTTGCTAATAAATACATTTTAATGTGATATCTAAGAGTCACATGACATTTTCTCTATAAAAGGTCCTTTAGGATCAACACTTGGTGACCCTAAGTGTCTGTGGCCAGCTTTGCATGAAGTAGATGGGAGATGCCTGGAGAATGAAGATAGCACTGGCAGGAGTCAATTTGCACCCCCACCCCTGAGATTTGCTTAAAATTTTAGGTGCAGTGTTTGGTGGTCAAATGTGTATAGAAGGAACTAAGTAAACATGGGTAACAAGGAACATCAAAATTCACAATGTGAAACTTAGAAATGGGTGGGACTCCCCATCTCAACTGGCTATATGGTAGTAACGGGGACTTGGCATTTTGGGTCCCAGTTCAGAAATTAGCTCATTTTTTCTTCTTCTGACTTTCACTTAAGTCTCTTGAACATACTCAGTGTCTCTCCTCACCTTTTGTTTTCTGGAGTAAGGTCAATGTTTTGTCCTCCAGTTCCTCCAGAGTTACAGAGTCAAGAGAAATACTCTCTAGTAACTGAGCGCGTTGATTTTCTAAATGAGGAAATTCCTGTTTTATTACTGTAGATAAAAGCTGATCTTGCAAGCTTTGGAATGTTACCGTGAAGTTGATAACAGTAACAAAGTTATAAACGGATGGAAGGAAATGGGGGTTGTCTAGTTCTGTGAATAAGTACAACCTAAAAATGAGAAAGAGACCAGTTAGTCAAACAACTTACAGAAGAATAAGATGAAACCAAATGTCTAAATAATATAAACTATATTTTTCTGGAAGTGAAAAGATTCATTTTTAGTGTTACTCAGTTTTGTGCTCAATGCATGTTCTTGGTTTATACTATGTGCAGAAGTATGTGTTTAATACTTTAATAACAGCCTCTGGGTTTAAGCATAAGGCCAGGGCCTATGACAAATGGTCATAGAGTTTTGGGGATTTGGAGTTACTGGACTTTCTAGCTGAAAGGCAGCCTGGGCACAGGGGTGAGGTGGGGTGGGAGGAAGGGCAGGAGGAATGGTGTTGGCTTAGAGCAGGTAGTAAGAAGGAATGAGATTCTGGTCTTGCTTTGCTTATAGCAACTAAGAAGAGCAGGCACAAGTCTACTCCACTTTTAAAAAGTGAGGCTGAGGCATGGCCAGAGAGAGTGGAGATATGTCCCCAAATCTGTCTTTTAAAGCAATACCATGTTCCTACCTTCTGGAAGACATCCATTCTGGGAATCAGTTGGCTACAATTACTATGACTCCCCAGGCTTTGCCCACAAAGAGACACCTGGAAGGCCTTCCTGGGAACTGTGTTTCTGTGGCCATTAAATGTTACCACAAACTAGCTCTTCGTGAAGCTGCCTGGAGGAGGGCGTAGCTTCCCACTGCAGCCCCAGAGGCTGTGCAGCTGAGAGGAGAACAGAACAGAAGGGAAGCAAGCCTGCCCTGGCAGTTTAGGGGCAGGGACCTCAAAATGAGCAGTTCTGATCCTTGTCCTTGACCAGAAGCCAGGAACGGTCTTGGTTCTAATGGCACTTCTGTGTTGGCTGGAGGCCAGAAACATCAAATGTGTTTAAGAGTCACTGTTACTGTTCTGGGTTCTTGCTTTCTCTTCTCTTGAAGCTACTGAGGCACATGAACTCCCATGTGATGGGATGAGTGGGTGACCTGCATGAGCCTCTACATAAGGATCCTTGATGATGACACAGCTTTGTGACACAATTTTGCTATATGGGAACTCTGTTTCAATCAGTCCTGTCTCTTATGTCTCACCAGGAACCCAGAATAAATTCCTCTCCAAAAATCACCCTTGCTGTTTCCCACAGAACTGAGTGTTTGAGTTCAAGAGACAAAGGACCTCTAAGTCCACTAGCTCCAGTGGCTTTGGTGGGTGTTGACTGTCTAGGAGCCCAGTCCTCCATATTGCTCATCTGAGGCCAAGAAGTCTCTGTAGTTGTTAAGGATTCCCATTTTCCCTCCTAGTGCTTCTACCTCCCTGGGTAGAAATCTTTTTGTTCTGAATACTAAATATGAATGTGGTGTGTGTGTGTGTGTGTGTGTGTGTGTGTGTGTGTGTGTGTGTGTGTCTGAGCTAAAGACTGACTTCAAGTATTTCCCTTCAGTGCTCTCCTTACTTTCTGAGACAGGATCTCTCAGATGGTGAGGATGACTGGCCATTGAATTCTAGGGACTGGTCTCTGCCTTCCCCAAGCTAAGACTACAAGTGTGTGCTACCCTTTGCAGATGCGTGTTGTGGGCCCGGTTGTTCATATTTCCATTGGCTGAGCCACCACTTCAGGCCTGGAGTTTTTGTTCTTTTAAAGTGGTCAAAGCTTATCATGTCTGTGCTGGTGTTGGTCAGGGGATCAAATCAAACTCTTCTGGGCTAAGTGGGCCGGGCTTCCTGCCTGTTGACTTCCCGCTCAGCTTTGGCCACAGTCCCATGAGGTACATACAGCCTGACAACACTGATAAAACTCACTCTCTGAAAATGAGTGACAGTCACAACCCACAAAACCAAGAGGAATGTTCATGATGCCATGGCTGTTTTTCCTCAGGATCACAGTCAGCAGGATGGATGCACACGGCCTTCCGTGTTCATGCTACTGGATTTGACTGTGGGGTCGTTACCTGAACCTTTTGTTGTACTCTATCTCAGTGCCACCAATTTTGATGTAATGCTGCCCTCTTTTCTGGAAAATGTCCTTCTTCAGAATTGCCTTTAAGCTGGGAGGAAATGCTTCAGGGGTATTCTGAAAACGTCCGACAGACAGACAGAAAAAAATCGTCTCAGACCAATCAGTTGAAAAGACGCATGGTTGATGTCTTCCGAGAAAGACAGGTGTAAGAGAGCTAAACTATGTACATATGTGCACATATATAACACACATATAATACATGCATGTATGTGTAATTGTGTATACATTTGTTTGACCAAAATCCTGGACACTGAAAACTCCTCCCTCTTACGTTCATTGCATATAACAAGGCATACACTAGAAAGAAGGAATCCGACTACATTGTCCACTTACATGCAAGAGGACACGCTCTCCTGCTTGCATGGCCGTTTTAAGTGTTTGGAGGTAACTACTATCTTCAGCAGAAATCTCTTGCAGCTGAGGCCCTTCCATCTGACGGATCCAGTAGAGTGCTTGCTTGTGCGGGTCAATCACCAGGGGCCACTGCTGGGTACTTTTCATCAAGATGGCATTTTCTGTTGCGTGCTGACCGAGAGGCAACCCTTGATTATGCCACCGGCGGATCTGGAAAGGAAACACTAGTGTATTTTACCAGTTCAGAAACTTCTGCACAGCCTTAGCTCCTGTAAAGGGTCACGAAGGATCCTAAACCACCATTGCTTTTAGAAAAATAATCCCCAAGAGGACCAAGGGAACAAGTGACTTAAAGCAAATTGGAATTTTGATCACGACACTGTAGAAACAGGAATCTTTCCACCAAGCCGCCCAAGTTCCGCCTGCCAACACGTTAAAGTCCCAAGTAACACAAAGAGTCTTACATTAGGTACAATGTTGCTGGCCAATGACTAAGATTTTTTTTCTTTTTTGCCGATTTTTTTATTTGAATTAGAAATATGATTGTTTTACATGACAATCCCAGTTCCCTTTCCCTCCCCTCCTCCCCTACCCCCCCCAGCTAAAACCCTACCTATCACATATCCTTTCTGCTCCCCCTGGATGGTGAGGCCTTCCATAGGGTGTCACTAGAGTCTATCATATCCTTTGGGATAGGGCCTAGGCCCACCTCCTTGTGTCTTGGCTCAGGGAGTATCCCTCTATGTGGAATGGGCTCCCAAAGTCCACACCTATGCTCACTTGTCCTTCTCTGCAACTGGATTCCAGTTGAGTTCAGTGATTAGTAATTACTTCTACTTCCATCAGCTGCTGGATAAGGGCTATCGGGTGGCATATAAGTCAGTCATCAATCTCATTATCAGGGGAGGGCATTTAAGGTAGCCTCTCCTCTGTTGCTTAGATTGTTAGCTGGTGTCATCTTTGTAGCTCTCCAGACATTTCCCTAGTGCCTGATTTCTCTGTAAACCTAAAATGTCTCCCTCTATTATGGTATCTCCATTCTTGTTATCTTCTATTCTTCACCTGGCTCAACCTTTCTGCTCCCCCATGTCCTCAACTCCTGAGATTCTCTCTTCCATCTCTTGTAATCTGTTGGTTATGCTTGCATCTGTAGTTCCTGATAGTTTACCCAGCTTTTCTATTTCCAGCATTTCCTCAGATTGTGCTTTCTTTATTGTCTCTATTTCAGTTTTTAGGTCTTGAACTGTTTCCTTGAGAGATTTGTTGATCTTATATTTTTTGGTTTGTTTTTTCTTCCATTTCTTTGAGGCCCTCTATCATTGTCATGAAGATGTTTTTAAGGTCATTCTCTTCTGGTTCATCTGCATCGTGATGTTAAGATCTTGCTGGTGTATGGTTCCTAGTCTCCGGTGGTGTCATCTTGGTTTTTCTGTTGTTGAATGTGCTTTTACCTTGTCCTCTTCTCATTCTTTCTTCTGATGGATGTAGCAGGAATCTCTTCCTCTCCTGGTGGGTATGGGACCAAGGTTCCCTTCTGTTATATGCAAACAGTTGCAATACTCCCGATGTCTGTCCTCTTCTTGTGGATGGAGGTGGGACTGTTACCAGGGCCTTGGAAGTATCTGGGTGTGTTGGATCCCGTCGCCAAGTTTGGCTGCGTGAGCAGACCCCTGGCATCACGTGTCCCCAGCACTGCCATAGAACGAGCAGACCCCTGGCATCACATTGTCCCCAGCCCTGCCACAGAACCAGATGTCTCAGATTTCTATTTGGTAGCTCTATCTTAAGTTTCACCCATAACTATTAATCTATATATTTTATAAACATCTTATTGAGGACGCCGGCGGAATGCTTCCCGTCTTCCTGGGATCACATGGTGGCTGCTTCTTCACTACATTTCCCAGAATCCTGCTTCTGTTAGTCCCATCTATCTTGCTTTCTTATTGGCCAACAGTGCTTTATTCATCAACCAATAAGATAAACATATAACCAGAAGGACCTCCCCCATCAGCACCTCCCTACACTTCTACAAAAAGTGCCACCAACTAAGGACCCAGCCATTTAAATACATGAGCCTATGGAGGTCACCTCATCCCAAGCACATCACTAGTTTATCTGTTTGATCTGTAGTTTATTTTTACTTTTAAAATGTTTGCTGAACTGGGCTGAGCTTAGGGAATCCTGTTGAAGAGAGGGAGGAAGGATTGTATGAGCCAGGAGGGTCAAGGTCATCACAAGGGAACCCACTGAAACTTACATGGGCTCATAGGGGCTCATGGAGACTGGACTGACAACTGGGGAGCCTGTGTGGAACTGACCTAAGCCCTCTTACATATGTGTGACAGTTGTGTAGCTTGGTCTACTTGCGTGTCTCCTAACAGTGGGAACAGGCCTATCCCTAATGCTTCGGCTGCTTTTGGGAACCTATCCCTTATACTTGGTTGCTTTGTCCAGCCTTAATACAAGGGGAGGAGCTTAGTTCTACCTCAGCTTGATATGCCAAGATTTGTTGACACCCACGGGGACCCTGCCCCTTTCTGAACAGAAACAGAGGAGGAATGGGTTGGTGAGATGTAAATAAAAAATGTCTGCTTAATATTTGAGGTCTTGTTATCAATAAACAAGTTTAGAACTGTTGCTATAGTTCTGGAGAATCAAACCCATTCTTAGGGTGAAGTAAGATCTGATAACATTAGTATGCTCTGGGCCACAGAGACTGTTTCATCTTTATTTGTAGTCTTTGTGCATTTTCTCCCTTTAAAAAAATCCTCAGTCTTAATGTTTTAGATGTGTTCTTTCTAAATAACATGTGTGGCTTCCATTCTGTGCTTTGGTATAAAACTATTATGTGGGCTTACGATCTTAGACTCTTAACTGGAACATTCAGGGCATATGTATCTAATGCAATTAGTCACGTGTTTAGAAGGTCAGCCATCATGAAACAGAGAAGCTGGTATTTCCTCCTGAGACCTTATAGGTTGTAAGGTCCATTGAAGTAGAGTTGTCACTGAAGAAACTAATCTAGAATGAGGAGGATTAAATAGTAGTAGGCATTTCTCTTTTTTAATCTTTTAAATATACACAAAGGACTTATCTGCATGGACAATAGATGTCTATTGGTAAATATAGGCCTGCGCTTTTGGCTATGGCTAAGAATGCACCCATGGTTAAGTAACTGCATTAATTCTATTACTGAAAGGAGTTTCAGAGAAACTAGCTAGATTCATTATGACAGGATGTTAGAATTACAACAGAAAAAAGAGTATTTTGTGATTTGATTAGAGAATGAGAAACAGTATAGATACAGCAAATGGAGGCACTAGATCTGCAAGTTAAAAAAGAAGGAACAAAAGGCTGAAAAACAATAATTCACCCGTCACAATCATTTATGGAAAACATCCATGCCTAAAACACATTCCCCAAAACAACCACCAATGAAAGCCACTGAATTGCATAGTAGAATTATGTTACGACCTCATTTTTTTCTGCCATCACTTTCATCAGGGAAAATTTGGATGACAAGGTGATTGTGTGTTGATTGCAGAGGTCCTCCCATTTCTGCATCACTGACTGGCGGAATTCTGGTGTTAAGACTCCGCTGTAGGCTACACATGCAGACGAAAGAAGTATGTCACCGAAGATGCCTTTCAACTTGTTGTCTATTACGTTGACTGTTTGTTGCCATCGAATCTAAATGTTAAAATGAAAATCAGTTTATTGAGTAGATAATTATTTATGAAATATTTAAGTGTGTGGCATACATGCGTGGACATGTTCATACTGGGTGTCTTTCTCTAGTGTTCTCCACCTTATTTGACTTTTTTGGTGTGTGTGTGTGTGTGCTGGCTTGAGAGTGAGCTTATGCCACGTGTGCATGTCTGGGTCTGCAGGGAAGGGCAGAAGAGGACCTTAGGTGTCCTGCTCTATCACTCTCTATCATACTCCCTTGAGGCAGGGTCTCTCTCTGAACCTGGTTAGATTAGCAGCCAGAAACCATAAGCTGTCCTCCCCCACCCCCCGCCCATGGTTGTTGGGATCTGAACTTGGTTTCTTATGCTTGCATAGCAGTGTTCTTACCCACTAAGCAGTCTCCCTAGCCTATTTCTATTATATATTTCTGTATTGGAGACAAGGTCTCTCACTGAACCTGGAACTCACCAACTGGGGCTGTGCTAGCCGGCCCGCAAGTCCCCAGGCCCCGCCTGTTTCTTCCCTCCAGCCCTTGGGGACAGATGTTCTAAACTCAGTTCCTCACACCTGGAGGCAAGCACTTTGCTCGTGGAGTCACCTCCCTGGCCTGGTATCATGAGACACTTTGAAGATGAATGGTCTCCATGCTTGGTCTGGCACTGCTATTACCACACCCATTCTATTCTGAAGGTACAAGAGGTGAATGGCATTTAAAAGTGGGCCAGGCTGGGCGCTGGGGCACACGTCTGCAAACTCGGCACTCAAAAGCCTGATTCAGGAGCAGTGCCATCAATTCCAGGCCAGCAAGGGCAACAGAGACCTGAGATGGATTTCACTCGGGGTTTTATCACATACTGCCTAAAACTACCTGGCAATACTATTTCTTATTGAGATCTGGAGAAAAATCTCATTCAGATAACACAAAAGAATTCTGGTGGCTTTGATAGTAGGAAACAGACTACAAAAATCTTACCCTGTCCCTGCCACAGAACTGTTTTCTGAGAGGAAAACTAGTCCTGATAATGAGGTCAAGGCCTGCTTTGACTGCATCATGAGAATTGGCCCTTCAACAAGCAAACAGAATCCCATCATGTTGTTAGTAATGCTCAGCCATTCTTACCCCCACCATCTGCTGGACAGTCACTGTCAACAGATACTTTATTGTGAAATTCTGACACTTCACCATCCCATTAAAAAAAAAAAAAAGCCACTGAACCAGGAATGGTGATGCTCATATTTACTCTCAGCAGGGAGACAGAGGCAGGTGCATCTCTGAGTTCAAGGCCAGGCTCTTTTTCCATTGTGAGCGCTATCTCAAAACAAATAGATAAAATTTCAAAAAATGTCACCGACTTCATGTTCAGAGGAGGGAGTTGCAGTGCAGAGAGCACCAAGTGTGTGCTTGGTTGGTCACTGGAGGAAGCATGGTTAACAGAAATTCACTCCTCTAGGATCCAAAGACCAGGAATAGTGCTGGTGTGTGTGTCCTGTCCCCCCCTCCTCACACCCCCCCTGCCCCCGCCCCACTCAGCAGTCACTGGTCTCTTGGGGACATCAGTCAAGTTTTGAGGAGAGTAGTCTCCGTCTGGGTGGTGTGAATTTTTACCACAACCATATCATTGTCCTTAAAGAACCTTCCATGATATAGTCATCCCAAAGGACAGGTGAGGTGTAACTAAACCAAGATTCTAGCCAGCTTATTAGGAGTGAATTAGAAACACTTAAACATCAGATAAAAGGGATCAGAAGGCCAGCAGAACTAATTGAAGTTTTCACTTTCCATTCTAACGACAGCCATTCTCTTTGGTGTCCATACACTCAACGTGCATTGTTCCAGGCTGGGGAAGAAAAACTCACAGCAAGGCCATCGAAAGCCCTGCCCCCACCCCCACCTCATCAGACAGAAATGTATGGCTATCTTAGCAGCAGGAGAGAAGAGCCCTGGCTACCAAGCTGACAGGGCTCCTTGCTGGAGTAAGACTTCATCTAGATCTTCATGGGGTGGTCAGATACTGAGGCAGGCTAGGAGGCGAGGCAGAGTCAAGTGCAATCTGACCCCATGGGAACTGGTAAAGGAGATAAAAAGCCAAGGGAAGCCCTGCCTTCTCATCTTCCAGGACAGTTAGCAGGACAGACGCACACTGCAGGCGCTTGGTGGCCAGCTTTTTCCGATTGGCTAGTTGTTGTTTTTCAGCAACGATGTCTTTGTAGGAGTTGTGTAAAAACTGTAAATGTTCCTCAATCTGAAAGACAATTCAATTCGTCACTGAGAAAATGTCTCACTCCTACTTGGTTTACAGCTTGTCATTTCTCTTGCCTTAGCATGTAACCACTTCCCATTCATGTCTTAGGAAATCTTCCCACATGGGTCACGTGAACAATGAAATGCTCACATGGAAGCTAGTGGCTTCTCTTAGCCCTGAAGCACCATGACATGCCGTCTGCTTTCTGCAAAAGCTCTTCTTGCAATCCTAAGCATTGGAAGAGTCATTTTCTAACTTACTATTTGTTCACAAAGAAAACTCTATGCCATGTCTAAATACATTCCCTAAGGAAACGGCTGAGGGCTGGGGATGTAGCTCAGCTGGTGGCATGCCTGCCATGCTGCAAGAACATCTAGGATTTATCTTCAGTGCTGTGTACAACCAGGTGTGTTGGCACACATGCCTACACTCAGGAGTAGAGGACGGAGGGTTGCAAATTCAGGGTCATCCTTGGATACTAATACAAAAAATGTATTTAGCATATATATATACATTATCTATCTATCTATCTATCTATCTATCTATCTAAATGGTGGGCTGGAAATAATGTTCTGCAGTATGATTTTTAATTGTGTGTGTGTGTGTGTGTGTGTGTGTGTGTGTATGTGTGTGTGTGAGTATGTGTGTGTATGTGTGTGTGTGTGTATGTGTGTGTGTGTGGTGTGTGTGGGTGTGATGTGTGTGTGTGTATGTGTGTGTGTGTATGTGTGTGTGGTGTGTGTGTATGTGTGTGTGTGTGTGTGTATGTGTGTGTGTGAGTGTGTGTGTGTGTGTGTGTGTGTGTGATGTGTGTGTGTGTGTATGTGTGTGTGTATGTGTGTGTGTGTATGTGTGTGAGTGTGTGTGTGTGTGTGTGTGTGTGTGATGTGTGTGTGTGTGTATGTGTGTGTGTATGTGTGTGTGTGTATGTGTGTGAGTGTGTGTGTGTGTGTGTGTGTGTGTGATGTGTGTGTGTGTGTATGTGTGTGTGTATGTGTGTGTGTGTATGTGTGTGAGTGTGTGTGTGTGTGTGTGTGTGTGTGATGTGTGTGTGTGTGTATGTGTGTGTGTATGTGTGTGTGTGTATGTGTGTGAGTGTGTGTGTGTGTGTGTGTGTGTGTGTGTGCACACACAAGAGTGCATGTCCATCCACACACATCCATCACATCCATCCAGGTGTCCCTGGAGGCCAGAAGAGGGCATCGATCGCCTGGAGCCGAGTAACATGGGAGCTGGGAACAAAATGCAGGTTCGCTGTAAGAACAATGACAAGTCCTCTCTTCAGCCTCTTGTTAATACTTTTAGATATTGTCTTTGCTTTTTCATTTCTCCTGTCTTCCCTCACGACTCATTACCTAGTTATTAAAGTGCAGGGCATATTCATGAAGCTTAACATACAATCATGTGGTGAGCACTGTGCTTCCTAAAGGATGTTTTGATGAGGTCATGGGTGATTAGTAAGTTCTAGGCCTATTTCCCAGAGTTCTCTACAATTTTCAGAAGTATTTTCTACAATGAGGCCCAGATGGGCAAAAGGTACGTCTCTGAAATGGGACAAAGTATGTAACAGGAGGACATTCCCATACAGGGCACAGAGCCAGTGGCGGTGACTGTAGCTGGGCGGCAGCACAGGATTGTACTTGAGAAACACGTTGAGCAGGTTCACTGAACTATGGCGCAGTGTGCTGTGAGTCTGTTTCCGGGAGAAGCTCCGACTCTGGAAGGGTGGCTGAGCGGATGGACATAGTGTATATGCACATGTATGTATATATACACATGTATGGATGAATGTGTGGACTTCAAGCTGCCGAAATGCAGACCTTTCAGCTTTGAGGGTGTGCGCATGTCCTCGGTGCAATCTCTCTGCCCAGACTGCAGCACAACACTCAACAACCTAGTTTGCCCTGTGAATCCTAGATTGCCCTCTACTCAGAATGTGGCCAATGTCAGGTTGATGATTGGCATTCTAGCTCCAGTTCCAGACATTAGACAGCCGCTAAGTGTGACTTCATGAATTAATGGTTACTATAAACAGGTGAAATGAGGACTCCATGCTACTGGATAAACCTTTTCTTTCTTTCCCTCCCCCTTCCTTTTCCCTGCCTTCCCCCCCTCTCTTTCTTTCCTTTTTTTTTTTGTGGTTTTTCAAGACAGTGTTTTTCTGTGTAACAGTCCTGGCTGTCCTGGCTAGGTTAGGGTTAGGGTTAGAGTTTGAGGCCAGCTCTGGAGACCAGGCTGGCCTCAAACTCAGAGATCCACCTGCCTCTGCCTCCCGAGTGCTGGGATTAAAGGCACCACTGCCTGGCTGACCCATTTTATAGATTGAAGTCATAAAGATCTCTTGGAGAAATGTGATGAAATAGTATTGTGTGATGATAATTAACAATATTGTTGATTGTTATGTAGTATGGATAGAGAGGCTTACGTATCATACTTATATTATCTACTTAGACCTCACAATTACACTCTTAAATATTCTTTTTTTTGTAAATAAGCTCTACTGAGATAATGGCTTTTGCACACCCCAGCCTTGCAGTGCTAGGGATGGAATGTCAGGCCCATATGCTACTGGACAGTGCTCTGTCATGAGCAATTCCCTCATCCTTGAGGTATTTATTGACTGCTCCTTGGCAATGTTATGTAGCTCTTACAGGCATTGAGAATTTGATAAGTAACAAAAGAATTTGATAAGTAACAAAAAGAATTTGATAAGTAATAAGAACCTAGAACTCCCAAACCTTACCAGTTGTAAACCTTTTTGCTTTTCCAGCAGCCTTTGCTTTGCCATTCGTAGGACATTCTGAGCTTCAGCCACTTGTTCCTGCTTGGGACCCACCACCTTCAAGGGAGGAAAACACCCAAGGGTTTAAACAGTTAGGCTTATGGTTTAAAATGCCTTATGCCTGAGAGACATTTACAAGTATCAATCTTTAAAACAAACTCTCCTGGAATTTGATATATGCACACAAGAGAGAGTTTGTCATGGACAAAATCTTAAAACAAATTGAAATGTAGCATGGCTTTCATAGAATATTTAAAAGAAACCATTATGAATTAGCATAACATATGAGAGTGTATGGATTTCAGTAGGCATTCTTTCCACAGAGGTCCACTCGAGCACTGCTAAATACCAATTCCTTTTGGAACCATGTCAGACTTCGGAGGCGAGGTGTACCTTCTGTACTTCGTGGTAGTTATTCAGAGCTATAACCCACTGACACATGGAGCAACAAGCCACAGAGACCAGGGCAATCTTGTTGGGGTTGAAATCAGGCAAACTTAAAATCTTCCTGAGCTTCAAGAACACCTAGGGAGAATGTGTTAAATGCAAGGTACATTAGAATGGATCATTAATTTCTCTAGGAATGATATTCCACCACTGCAATTAAAGACACTGCAGTTGTGTCTAGGGTTGAAAGTGGCCCCTAGATGGAGGGGACCCTTCTGATAAACACCTGTCACTGTTGTAGTGAGTTTGCTAATATTTAAAAGGAACTTCAGCCAGGTGGTGATGGTGCATACCTTTAATCGAAGCACTCGGGAGGCAGAGATAGTCAAATCTCTGTGAGTTTGAGGCCAGCCTGATCTACAAAGTGAGTTCCAGGACAGCCTCCAAAGCTACAGAGAAACCCTGTCTCGAAAAACAAAACAGCCAAACCAAACCAAATCAAAATAAAAAAAGCTTCAACCTGGGAAAATTTAGTGTTCTTCGAGGAGGTCTCAATCCCTTGGTGCACTTTACTGTGAGGGGTGACATCCTGCCTCCAGGTGACCTATTGGCCTAAGGGTGCCATCTAATTTATAGTCAAGTACACAGAATTTCCTATCTGCCTTTATGAGCCGTAAATGGTACAGAGTCTTAGGCATCTCCTCTCTTGCCCAGAAACACCACTTTCCTGAATAATTCAGATGCTTGTGGCTCACTAACCTGCCACTACTAATACGTTCTGATTATTTTGAATGCGGTTAGGCTTTTGATCACTTTTTTATAATAGTGAGTCTTTTTAGATGTATTTAAACAAAATCACAGGGGACCATATTTGCTAATTATTCCTCAGAGAATGAATTGTTACATTAGTTCAAGAATGAGAGTCACCACTGACATTCGCTTCCTTGTGTGGACCTCAGAATGAATTGTTACATTAGTTCATGAATGAGAGTCACCACTGACATTTGCTTCCTTGTGTGGACCTCAGAATGAATTGTTACATTAGTTCATGAATGAGAGTCACCACTGACATTTGCTTCCTTGTGTGGTCCTCTGTGCTTCCCAGTGGCACAGACTATTATAAGTTCTGCTCAAGATGTATGCTTAATATGAGGATTATAGGAGAACACTTTCATGAGGAAACTATGCTCTCCTGTTCTCGTTTTAGCATTTATCGTGTGTGTGTTCTCGTGTGTGTGTGTGTGTGTGTGTGTGTGTGTGTGTGTGTGTGTGTGTACACGTGTTCGAGCACACACAGGTACTGGGACACACATGAGGTCGTTTGTGGGTGACTTGTTCAAGTCAGTTCTCTCCTGTCACAGGGATTCTGGGGTCACACTCATGCTTGTCAGGATTGGTGATGAACCCCTTTATCATCTTGTTGGCTCCTCCTTTCTCTTTTAGTACTTACCACCGTGTTCCATCTGTAATACATTTCATACTTAAATCCAATTTAAATTTTCACCTATAATTTGAGAACCAATTTTAGCACTTCTGCTCGAGTCTGTGGACTGCAAATATGGAACCCATCTATCTATCACATACTCACCAGATATGGGTGTTTTACCTTATCAGGGATGCTGTCCTTGTCAAGGTTTATCAGTTTCTTTAGGAAGCCAGTCTCAGAGAGCAGCAGCTTGGCCGTTGCCCAGTTAGGCTTCCTCTGTAGGAGGATACACACGGCGTTCATGACTGTCAGGACGAGGAAGGGGGGGCGTGCGTACACTCTGTAAGACAGGGTGAGCATGCTGAAAGTCAGTCTCCCTGTAAGCAATCCCACATCACATACACAGCCTTTTAGACATCACCTACATAAATGGTTAAGGTAGTCTGCAGAATAATGGGTTTCGTTATGGAAACCTCAAGTTAAAAATATCCCACCCAAAGATTAAAATCAGGATCAAAAGGTTCAAGCCTTTGTACTCCATCATATTTCATTTCTTCTAGGCCTTTCTGGGATTTTTCTCTTCATTCTTTTTCTTCACACACCAGTACATGGTTTGGAAAAGACACACTAGGGCTCCCATGGCGCCCCCTTGAGGAATGTGTCAGCACTGCAGTCTCCTTGTTCTTGGCAGGTTCCTCAAGTCACCCTGGAATGAGTGCTGGAGCATCAACACTGTTCTAACTGCAGTTCAGACAATGCTTTGCTTTACCTGGTCTAGGACGTAAAGTTTTACATATCAGAGATGGCAATTTATCTTATAACAAATGGCTCTCAGTCTTAGCTGGGTGGTAATTTTCCGCTCTTAAGGGTCCATAAAATACTGTCATGCCTTAAAACCAATAACATATGATAAATATCACATGTAATGAGAAACTTCCAGTAACCAAATGGACACAAATTAGTTAATATAAAATTGGAATGCAGAATTTACCACACATTTTTTTTTTTTTAGTTCTATTCAGAGGTGTTTTATCTCAAAAGAGACAATTACTCACCTTAATTCAGAAACATCACTTTTATCCAGGGCATTTAGGGCCACTCTTGCCTTCTCTAAAGCAGGCAGCACGCTTTTTAGCTCACTGGTAGTTTTCTGCAATGAAGACGCAATCCTCACTATATATGAACCAAAGTAGTTTCATATTGAAAGTTGTCGGAATGTTGATGAGAAATGTGGTTTGGCATTTTTATAGTCTGACTTAGACATGTGTACACTAATGGCATGTTCTGCCATGGGCAACATTTTATAAATGAAATGTGATGTGCTATCCAACCCCCGGTGAGAAGGAACCCATAGGAAGCAGAAAAGCTGGGTGGCTTTGGCCTTGTCTTTCAGACTCAACATGGTGTGGGCATGCCCTTTGAGGAGTGGCTCTGCTACGAGGGGGGCTTGGTGATGATGACCAAGAACTGGGCGTGGTGGCCACACCTACAGCCCTAGCACTGGGAAGGCTGAGTCTGTGAGTTTGAGGCAGCCTGGTCTACAGAGCAAGTTTCAGGCTAGCTAGGGTTACATAATGAGACCATCTCACAAAACAGAAACAACAAAAACAGTGAAGAGCTAATCAGTTAAGCCAGCTGAGCCAGGTTGTGGGGGTGTATGCCTTTGATTCCAGCACTGAAGAGGCAGAGGCAGGTGGATCTCTGTGAGTTCAAGGCCCACTTGTTCTATATACCAAGTTCTATGCCAGTTAGGACACAGTCTCACTATGTAAGCCCAAGGAAACATTTTGAAGTTATGTGGAGAACAACTTGAGATCTACGTTGACAAGCACTGTGGTTCACAATAAGCCTTGTCCTCGGACTGACTTGTGCTTCGGGAGATTAGCCAGCGACTGCAGCTCATGGTGTAACTGGTAAATCAATTTATTCCAATGTATGTGGTTGCTTTGTTGAGAAGGATTGGCTTAGTGATCAGACTAGAATTGAGCAAACAATCTGCAGAACCATGCTGGCTCCTGCTGGAATTGTGACAGAGAGATGGAAGGGAATACAGGGTTTCCCAAGGGAAAGACAGAAGGGCACAGTTGAACAGTCATCCTCAAGAGCTGGTTGGCTCCCTGCAGATGCTGCACCTGGAGGCGTGGCCCACGTGACATGGCTCATGTGAGCTTCAGTGAAGCCTGCAGAGCTCCCTGGGACAGGCACCCTTGGCCTTCGCCACTGTGCGCCCATCTTCCCCTAACGGCCTCCGGTATGGAGTGGGGGCTCAGTACGTATTGCCTCAGGAAAAACAAAGCTGTCCATCTTTGGACCACTGCCTTCACAGTGGGGGTTCAGGGCAGTGTGTGTGGGGGGTTCCCTGACCCTCAGCTCACCTGAGCATATTCTTCCACAATCCTAACTTCCTCGGCCACAATTTCCTCGTCCTGTTTCACAAGCACCTGCACTTTTTCAACTATTTGCGAATCTTTCCGCAGCTTTTCCATCAGGGCTTCTTTTTCCTGACGAATCAGACAATTCTTAGAATGAACTTTGACACGGTTTCTTCGGAGCAGGCATTAAAATATTTTAGTAACTGTATAACACAGAAATTAGCCTGAAGTCTATGTAAAAGAGTAATCAGGATGGCTACCATAAAGACGATTTTACACACATCAAGATGACAAGGGGCTAGAGACGTGGCTCAGGGGTTAAGAGCACTGGTTTCTCATCCGGAGGACCCAGGTTCAATCCCCAGCACCCACATGGCGGCTCACAACTGTCTGTAACTCCAGCTCCCTCTTCTGACTTCCACAGGCACTGCGTTACACGTGTAATACATGCATATATGCACAATACATACATATATACATGCATGCATATATACATGCATGCATACATACAGGCAATTCACCCAGATAAACATAACTTTATAAAAAGGGTCTCACAAGAGCATAACTGGAGTCCCAGAAAGAGAATATATATGAAGATAGCAAGAGTGGGGGCGGGTATGCCACAGCAGTAGAGAGCTTGCATAGTGTCAGGTCTTAGATTTAATCTCTAGCAACACTCACACCCCCGTCACATACACACCCCAAAACAAAAAACACACGCAATAGCTTTTTAAACTAATTAACAGCCTGCAAATGATCATAGCAGATTTCTGATAGAGTTAACTGATTACCTAGGGACTCCTGTAAGGTAATTTTCTGTCGTTAGTTATGGGGCTGGTAAGTTTGTATGTCAGTTTGATAGGCACTGGGTTATCCGGAAGAACAAAGTTTAATGGAGAAAACGCTTCCATATGACTGGCCTGGAAGCAGGTCTCTGGGGGCATTTTAGTGGTTGATGATTGATGGGGGAGGACACCCATTGTGGTCCTTGGTTGTGTAAGGGCTGAGCAAGTGAGGAGGAGCAGGCCAGGAAGCAGCCCTCCTCCATGGCCTCTGCCTCTGCTCCTGCCTTTAGGTTCCTGCCCTGCCTGAGTTCCAGTGCTTACTTCCCTCACTGACAGATTGTAATGTGGAAGGAAACATTGGCTGAATAAACCCTTTCTTCCTCAAGCTGCTTTTAGTCACAGTATTTTTATCCCAGCCATATTAAACTTAATTAAGACATAGGATCATATTAATTGTTAAAATATAATTTCTTCAAAGTTGCAAAGGGACGTCATGGCTAACTTATTTGTTAGGTAGCAGACGCTCGGCTTTCAAACACTCTTCTGGACCCAACTACAGAACCTTTAGGGAGAGATTTAAGACTAAAAGTACCTTTGTTTTTTGTTCTATCTGAGGGCCAATAATCAAAAGTTCTTCCTGCATGTCTGTGACTAATACGGTTGCTTCCAGAATCTTGGATAGCCCCATGTGGAAGCGATTCCTGGAGAGAAAGTAAAGCACAGGCTGACCCTCCCTTATCGGAGACGCTTAGGACCCTCGAGCGCTCTGGATGTGGGGATGCGCTGAATTTTAGACTGCTCAGGCTGAGCAACCTCCATCTGAAGTCTCAACAGCCTCAAGCTTTTCCAGCTCCTTCTGTTAACATCCCAAGTGTTAGATGCCATTATTAGGGGTGCTCACCTGTATAAAGAAGGAAAAGACACACAACTGAGTAGTAGCAACTAAAATCAAAAGCCTCTAAAGAACTACACATCATGATCAAGCTGGGTTTATATTTAAGGGATTAAAGACTGATTCAGGACTTGAAAGTCAACTGGCATATAACCCACCTGTATTAATATTCTAAAGCAGGAAAAATCAGACCAGGTCAACTGAAAATGTATCAAAACACGATAAAATTCACAACAAAAATAAAACTGGGAGTCAAGAGGACTTTTCTCAACTTGTTAACGGGCGTGTTACAGAAAGAAGAAAACAGACTCACTTTGGGCATACAGTGTTGGTGACAGGGTCTAATCACACCAGTTACATGGCCACGAGTGGATGGCAGCAGTCTCCCACAGACCCTAGACACAGGAGTGGAAGGTCCACTATTCTCTCTTGATTCTCATCTGGAGAGAAGCTTGTCACTTTACCTAGGCTGTCCTCACCTCGATTTAACTGCCTAACCACAGAAATCTTAGTCTGACAGAAACTTCCAGAAGGTGGGTGCCTCCACTGGAGCAGGAGAGTAAGATTCACTTCTGAACACTGTGTGGCTTTTGTAGCCTGGGTTCTGACTGTCCAAACTGCTCTGCATTTAACCGATACAGTCTTTTATACCCACCTAGTGCTGTTAACAAAAGCTCAAAGAAAATTTAATCCTGAACCCACATTAGCCCAACTCGATAGAGGCTGCCCTTTCCTTTTCCGTAAACACCAGGCTCGGATGCACTCGTCGAACACAGACTAAGCTCTTCCTGTGAGCAGTGATGCTCCTGCTGACCAGCTGGGGCAGAGTATGTATAACTGCCAGTACCTCTTGCAACACCAGGGTGAGCCATGTGGCTCGGCTCCAGGCAGGGAGTCTGACTGTGGTTTAGCTTCTAAGTGGGAGTCATCACCAGAGCTACTCTCTTTCAATGTTCCACAAGATGACCTGAATGGATTCTGTCCAAAGGGACCTGATGGTGGCTTTTCCTTTTAAAGACTTGTTAGCTGGACACACAGCAGGCCTGCGGCAGACTCGTATTAGAGTGTTTGTTCCATGGCGCCTGAAGGTCATCTAGGCAAGGCTTGACTGCAATGGTTCTGACTCTCAGCAAACTCCTGTGATTTCCCCCACCATGTGAGAATTCGGAATATCTGTGAGTAGATGTTACAAGGCTGATTCCAGTCCATTTACTGTCTTCCTGGGAGGTTGCCATAAGACCGAGTCTCGGTGTCTTCCTGGGTTCTGGTTATGTATGAGGGCTGTGGGTGTAAGCTAGTGGCAGTGTTGGCAGGGCACACCCGAGTCCCTGGGTTCCACCCCTAGCACTGTGTAAAAGTTAAAAAGAGGGTGAGAAGTATGTGAGAGCTGGAGGATGGGAGGTGGGTTGAGAAAGCTGTCTTCTGGACATGCCACGGCCAGGTACTGCCCCTATGCTCATTGCATAAGCTCACGTCAACAACATCAGTCCATGTCCCAGCAAGCAGCACTAATCGGACTCATGGGTTATTTAAAGACAGTAAAAAAGGAAAAGGGCATGAAAGCACAGTAGGGGGACACGCTGAGGGAGGCTGGAGGGAAAAGGTGGGGATGGGCATGATCAAGATACATTGTATGTACGTACGTACGTACGTACGTATGTATGTATGTACGTATGTACGTATGTACGTACGTATGTACGTATGTATGTATGTATGTATGTACGTATCAAATTGCCAAAGAACATGTAAAAGACAGTCCTCCAATAACAACAAGAGATCTAATTAAGTCTGAGGCTTCCTGCCTTGTGCTTTCCCCTTTATTCTCAGCCACGGCAGCCACCTATACAGTGATTTATGGCCGTGTGACACGGTGTTCTCAGCCACCTCTGCTGCAGTCACTGGGCCATTTCTGTGAAGTGTGACAAGTGTTCTCAGCTATCTGTGCTGCAGCCACTGGGCCATTTCTTTTGGTCTTATCCCCAAAGTCACAGGGAATGGCACTTGCAGCCATCAATGGTGTAAGTGGGCACTGTCTGCACTTGTTCCCGATGTCTGTGTAGGCGATATGCCGAATCTAGCAAGAACTGACTTCTCATTGGCACACCTGTAGGTTCTGCTGTGATGGGCGGCCTCTGGACACATGCAAAGGAGGCGGGACAGTCTCCTTATGATCCACCATAGTGTTGGCCCCAAGGCCTCCATGAGAAAGGAATATTCAAATTCACTATTTTGTATTTGTGTCTATTTTTTTTGTAAATAAAATTGCGTATGTAAAAACACACATTTCTATTTTACTGGAAGCCTTACCTTTTTATCGTCATCTCCTCTTGTCTCATGCTCAGAATGTGTGTGAACGTCTCCAGAAACTTCAAGTAGCTATTGGGGGTGACGTAATAGTGCCTTCCAGTGTCTTCAAAGTACTTGGTGCTCAACTCTTTCATACTTTTGTGGATTTCGACACATGTTGAGGCAAACTGTTTTATTTTATCCTGAAGAATGACAATTTTAAAAAATTACAAGAGAATATAAAAAGAGAAGAATGGGCAGTAACTTGAAGCCCTGTAGTGTTTCTGAGATGCAGAGTGACACAGGCGGGCCCTGGGTAGCACCAGGGTCATGTGGGTTTCAAAGATGGGAGAATGAGGAGGTAGTGGGACAACAATGAGTGACTAAGGGCACACCAGATTTACTCTTGCAGCTTGGGCTCTAATTTCTGCATCAATAGTCAAGGCTTGTCTTAGTTAGGGTCACTATTGTGATGAACTACCATGACTGAGCAAGTCAGGGAGGGAAGCGTTTAGTTGACTTACACTTCCACATCATAGACTACCACTGACGGAAGTCAGGACAGGAAGGAGCTCAAGCAGGATAGGAACCTGAAGGCAGAGGCCATGGAGGGGAGCTGCTTACTGGCTGGCTTCCCCTGGCTTGTTCAACCTGCTTTCCTATAGAACCCAGGACCACCAGCCCGGGGAGAGCCTCACCCACAATGGACTGGGACCTCCCCCACCAATCACTAATTAATAAAATGCCCTACAGCCTGATTTTATGGAGACATTTTCTTAATTGAGGTGCTCTCACCCCCTTTTCAGATGACTCTAGCTTGTATCAGGTTGACATAAGACCAGCCAGCACAGGGCTCTTGGAATGTTAGCAATAGCAGGACACTCTGGGAAATACTCCAACGGCTGCAGAAGCCTCACGGAAGGATGGTAACAGAGGTATCCCTAGGCAGTGTAGACCCTAGGTAGCCTTAAAACAGGCGGGTAGCAGGCACAACAGATGTGGAGCTCATAAAGAATCAGGATATATAACTGAGCATCACACAGCTTAGCTTACAGATGCCTACTCAGAGATGTGATCACATGCTGACCCAAAGCCACGCCCTTCATGGGCTTTAGGCACTTACCTCCTTGTTTTCTACTTTCACCCTTTCTCCCAGGTAGGAATTGGCCACAATAAGGAGAGCTTCATCGGGCCACTTGTGGAACCAGTTGATGGTGCAGGAGGTAATCATCGAAGGGTACATTCTACATTTATGGCGGAGATTAGATCCTACAGGACTCATGATCAGAAAAACATGCAGATTCTTAGATACCCTCTGAAATTGACAGAATCACACACATTGTTAAAATGTAATCCCCTACTTTGGAAATGATACTATATCAAAAACTCAGTTGAAAACTTGTTTCAGCTATTTCCTAAATGGATAGACTTTTATAGACTAGCTGAGTGTGTGTGTGTGTGTGTGTGTGTGTGTGTGTGTGTGTGTGTGTGTCTTCACATGCATGTGCCATCAACAGGGCTCTTGCAGGCAAACCAGAAGCCCACAGAGCCCTTCTGCCCCATATAACTGGCCTTGTTGACTTCAGATGGTGGATCCAGTACTAACTCTTACAAAGCGGGAGGAGACGGGTGGTGCTTAGACAACGATGATGAGTCTACCGCTAACTCTTCCCTGGGGTGTGTGCTTTTAGCGTGCACAGAAATGCAAAGTAAGACAGAGGTCAGATTAGAGGTCAGACCTGAAAGAGAGCATGGAGAGACCACAGTAGGAACAAGGTCTTAAGAGTTAGTGGGTTATGGCAAGGCAATATTAGAAAATGCATAGGTCTTAGACTAATTGCCAGTTTCTTTTTTTTATGATTAAGATAAATATTAATTTCATTCAAAACTTCATTCAGCAACACACCACTTTGCATATTGAGCAAGTTCCTTTGTGCCATGTGTAATCAAATGTCCTAGAATGAGAATATGAATACAAGACCACTTCTGAAGTTTGCCTGTACCCGCTTTGCTCCTAAGACCCAACTCAACTGCTGTTGTTGGGTATTTGTCAAGACTGGCCACAGGACCCAAGGTCCTTTCCTTCCATTTCCATGTGCCACTTTACAACAAGTCCACAGAACTGGAGGGGCCCACCAGACGGCACGTTTCTATTAACTCAGAATCCAAATTACTGCCATCTCTAGGTAACTTATTTTCTAAATAAGCACAGCAAGGCTGAAAAGCAGAAAGACTGTAGGGGCATCCAAGCAACCTCTCATCATGTTTGTTCTCTATCAACCGTGATTCCATCTCTGGGATTTCAAAGAACTGATGTTCTTGTAGCACAAAAAAAGCATCTGTCATGGAAATGTGGGCATCCAGGTTTAATTTTCAAATTCCCTTACCCAAAAGCATGCACCGCTCCCCCCCCCCCAGTAAGGCCCTTCCCCAGCACACATTTTTGTCTGGGTTGAGTAATTATAGCTATAGTTCATTACACTCTTGGCTACCCAATGCCAGATAGCCATGGATACAAGACAATAATGATCTAATCCTCGTTGTGATATAACGAAGAATCTCATTCCTCAGTTTCTAATGTTAGGCATTTTTCCTGATCAGTAGTAGAGTTCAAATCTTCCAGGGATGATTCATTAGGCAAGTCACATGTTTAATCATCAGGACATCAAGGCAGACAGACAAAAGCCCGGAGCACTGTTAGATCTGTGTCTGCCATCCAACTGGAGCTTCTGAGACCCCCACTGCTGCTTTCTTCCTTGCCCTTTGTAGACAATCTCTCTCTCTCTCTCTCTCTCTCTCTCTCTCTCTCTCTCTTACATATATTTTCTTTCCTGCTCAATCCTAGTGGTGTTCAAAGGGGTGAAAAGAATCCTTGCTTTTCCTGACTTGATACCAACGTAACTGAAATGGAACCCTTATTGAACTCAGGGAAGGATCTCAATGTAAAAAAATAAGCTGGAGAGGAGGTTTTCATCTCCTTACAAGCAGTTGTTTTTTCTTTCGTTTTATTTTAGAAAACGATTAGTCATTTAGCCTCAGATTTGTCAATCTTTGGGACACCCAGGGCATGCTGTGTCTCTGTGTAGGAGCACTGGATATTATTTTAGCTTTTTAAAACTCATTTGATGAACTAAAGAGATTATATACAAGTTGAAAATCACTTACAGAATTATAAGCATGCTTTACTTTAAATTTACCAGGACAATTTGATAAAGTCGAGTTTCAAAACAGTACCTTTTGGAATAATGTAAGTAAGTATTTCTTGTCATCCATTAAATCAGAATGCTCCACAAAATTTCTAATCCTCATAACAATGGAATCCAGCTCCTCATTTTCAAACATGCTAGCAGCCTTTCCTCCATTGACAATGTAGTTCAAGTCTTCCATAAATGACTCCTTAAGTGAAACACAGACTAATGAGATGGATGAATCATACGTTCTTCTTTAAACAAACTGAGAAAGCATGGGCACTCCAGGGTAACTGAAGGTACTTACCAAGACAGCTGACATCTTAGTTCAGTCTCATCAAGATAAGCCTCATCAACCCACCCATCAATTCCAACATGTCGGGGAGACATATGCTTGGTACCCAGTGGATATCATGTGCCATGGGTTAAGGTACATAGCAGTGAGCTGGGCAGGGACTTGTGTCAAGCAGTTCATAGAAACCTCAACACAGCCACATCTGTGTTTCACCAGAAGAAAAGCTAGAAATAGCATGGCGGAGGTATTATTTTAATTTAAACAAGCCTCGTCTCACCATGTTCATCTCCGCTCTTGGCCAGAGATGGCTTTCTATAAAACCATTGATGAAATAGAATGGTGGGCTCCAAGCATGGCAGGAACAGCATCTCTCCAAACTAGAAAGAAAGGCTGTTTGATAAGCTTCACGCGGATCAGTGGATCAGGGTGTTTAGATTTGGGGAAATGATGAATACACAGCAAAAAGCAGAAAATTTAGATTCTTATAAAATATGACAGATATGACACAAAACTTCATTTATTCTCAAATATGGCAGTCAGTCGAAAAATTTTGGTAGCCAGAGAAGAGACCCAGAATCAGGAGAAAAAGCAGGATGGGGTTTTTAAAGTATATTTTTATCAAAACACAAGTCATGTACAACATTTCCTTGAATTTTGTCATAAGGAGTAAATAGGACCTTTGGTGACATTCGTAATTAAGCTTTGACAGTGAAAGGACACAATTTGTACAAAATAGTGGGGGAAGTTTTGCTTGTTTGTCAGAAACAAATCTGCAAGGAAAACCCCAATAGTGATAAAGGAGAGAAAGGGAAATGCTCCAAGTTGCTACAGCACACTAAGTTACAAACACATCTGGGGGCAGAGAACGGAACTAGTTTTGATACAAAGTGGATGATTTTGCTACAGGGAGGAATCACTTCCAATCTGTTGATTAAAACGGAAACAACAAAGACAGGAAATACTTCTGCTGGGTGTTTACCTAGAGCTATGGCATGATTACAAACACAGCCCATGGGCTATAACTGGATGATTACAGAGGGTTGAAACGGCTCCATAATAGAAAACTCACACACATAAGTGTGAACCTTCCTGGGGGCATCAACACCAACCTTTAGCAAGTCAAAAAGACATCAAGCACTTACTTGTTCTTCTTGTAAGTTGGCAACCATGACAACAGTGGGGATCCCTTCCAAGCCAGTTTGAATAAACACATTTTTAAACATGTCTTTGAAATCTGAGATCACATAATTGTGGGCTGCAGGCACGCGGTGTACTTTGTGTTCTGCTATGTAACAGGCTAAGCTTGCATACGTTTCTTTTCCACATCCATCTATTCCAATCTTTGGAAAACAAACCAAAAAGCCGAACATCGGATTCATAACGTCTTGGAGTTAGGGATGTATCACAGGTGAGTACTACTCGTTTAACAAGGACCAGACCCTGAATTCCGTTCCTTAGCACACACAAATGATTAAATACCCACAAAAACAAAGGGAGTGATTCCTATGTACTTTCTGGGAACTGATCAATAAGTACTTTTCTCTTTATTTATGCTAGAAATATTCACAGTAAGCTATTTCAGACTATAAGACAATTGCTTACATTTTAACATCTTCATAGCCTCTTAAAATACGTGAAATTTTACTGATACCTGGAGAAATAGCACAAATTGACTTGTAAACCAATAGTGCACCATTATCAATACCCAATGCTTCATTCATATGAAAGTAGATAGGGGGTTCTTTTAGGCAATCATGAATGTTCTTTTGGTGATGATGAAATTACCTCACATGTATTTGTGAATCCTGAGCTGAGGATGCAGCTGTGTTGCATCCCTTGCCTGCACTGGACCAAACCCTGGGCTGATCCCCACACCACATAAAATAGGGCGAGGTGGTACGCTCCTGTAATCCCACCACTTGGGAGGTAGAGAAAGGAGGGTGGCCTGGGACATGTCAGGCCCTGTCTTAAAAATAACAAAATTACAAACACTAAGGTTCAGTCTAGCTGTGAAGCTCCATGGTTTTGACAAATACATAGCTTGGTGGTTTGAAAGAAAATGGTCCCCAGAGTGAGTGGCACTATTAGGCGGTCTGATCTTGTTGGAGGAAGTGTGTCACTGTGGGGGCGGGCTTTGAGGTCTCTTTTCTCAAATTTCCCTCCGTGTGACAGTCAGTCAACTTCCTGTTGCCCCTGAGTCAAGATGTAGCGCTTTCAGGTCCAGCAGCACCTCTGCCTGCATGCCACCACGCTCCCTGTTCTCTGCCATGATGATAATGGACTGGACCTCTGAAACTGTAGGCTGCCACGCCAATTAAATGCTTTCTTTATAAGAGTTGCCATGGTCATGGTGTCTCCTCACAGCAAGAGAAGCCCAAACTAAGTCATAGTGTAATGCATTCATGATTTCATTATCAAACAGAATTTCACCACATTAAGAAGACTGTTGGAGCTTCCCTCTTGAGCAAACTCTTGGCAACCACTGATACTCCTATATAATTGGAATCATGTAAGCATACCACTTTCCAGATTACCTGATTTCTCTTAGTAATATACCTTTATGATTTACCATGTCCTTTTTCAGCTTACTAGCTTGTGTGTTGGGGTAGTTTCCTAAGGCAGAAATCGAGGCTATTGACTTTTAAGTTTTCTTTTTAAGTATAAGCACTTAGATCTAATAGATTTCCTATAGATTTTCCTGTAAGTATTGCTTTAGGCATGTAGTGTAATTGCTTTTCATTTTCCCAAGCTATTTTCTAATTTGACAGGATCTATAGTCACCTTGGAGACAAATGTCTGTGAGGGAGTTTTAGGCTAATTGAATCGAGAAGGCTGACCCTAGTAGGCAACACCATCCCCCAGGCTGGAGTCCTAGACAGAGGAAATGGGAAGAAAACAGCTGGTGGTGGTGGGAGGGGAGATTTATTTTGTATTGTGCTTCTTGATTCTACTTTCTCATTCTAAAAATGCCTTTTAGTTAATTTTGTTCAAATGCCTACTTAAGAAAAGATTCTCTAAGTCAAAATCTAGTGTTACATGCAAGATAAAGTCTTCTCTTTTGGAGAAAAAAATATAAATGGTAGCCATAAAAACAAATTAAATAATATTTCTATACAACTGGCTAAATATCATGGATTAAAATTGTTCTATCACATTATTTATTATGTGTGTGAATGTGTATGCACATACATGACACAGCCTGAGTATAGAGGTCAGGAGAGCGCTTGCAGTAGGTCCTCTCTCTACCATGTGGGTCTCGGGATCCAACCCACGCTTAGCAGCAAGCAAGCACTTTCACCCACTGAGCTATCTTGCTGGTCCAATATTGCGGATTTTATTTTGCTTTCTAAAACCTTTTCTCTGTTACAAGTACTTGGCACTTTGTTAATTGAGCTGCCACTTATTCTCATAAGGAACACATCTTTGTGCAATGGCTCCTATTTCTAAATCAATATCCAACTTAGTGTACTATTTTTGAAGCCAGGCTCCACCTGCGTAGATTCTAGATTAATGCTAGGATACATTACATGTGGTGCCAAGCACATCTGTTTAGCCATACCCAAGGCCTTTCCCAAATAAATAACATGTCCCTGTGCCAGTGAATTTCTTCTGTAAACAATGGGATCCTGTTCTATGACTCAGTTACCGGGATTTTTCATAATTTATTTGAATACAGCTTCTATATTTAGATTTTACTGGAGATTCTGAATTTTTATTTTGCAAACTTAAAAAAAATTTGAAAAACTGAAAGTCATACCAGTAACATGTGACTCCCTGGCTGTCGGAGGATTCTGGTAGCTCTTGTAATGTGTTCTATAGCTTCTTTGAAGAATACAATTGAATGAGACATCTAGCAGAAGAAATGTAGCAAATAAACGAATTACAGGTTTAGAAAAGTGTATCAAATATGTATGATAGTGTTACATACAAGGAAACAGGAGTGTGAGTGACTCTGTTTAGTAGCATGGTGGTGGTGACCCAGACCCAGTTAACAGTCTATGTCAACATTTAGAGAAGACAAATGTTCACAATCGGCTCACTCACTCCTTTGCGAACAGTCTAGTGAGCTGACCTGGAAAGACATGGGGATGAGGGGACAGGATGAAGAGCAGAAAATTGGTATCTAGGTTGCTTTTCTATTGCTCTGTATTGGCAGTGGCTGTCGGGAGAGACTTAGGAAATTATGCATGGGGTCTGTGGTTTGCTTGGCGTTTCTGCTTCAGCATGTCTCTGCTCATGACAGCAACGGAAAAGATGAAAAGAGCCACAGCCATGGCGCGTGTTTGTCACTCTGGACCCTGGTTGCTATATTCTCTTGCATTTGACTCCATCTCTCTGCTATTCAATTCCCCAGTGCCTCAGCTACACCCCATCTTCACAATTAGATGTCACCGGGACAAAGTCTAGAGAGAGCCACAAACAACTGGGTTTCTGATGGTCTGCTCTGAAATGTATATATATATATACATACATACATGTACACACAAGTAAACACACCCATGTGAAGCACTCTTCAGGTTTTCAAATGCTGTATCTTTACCTCCAGAGCTGTTGAACCCAGCTTCTGTTGGAATTCCTGAAGTATGCCAAGAAGTTTGTCGAAGTTACTGACGCTCCGGTAGATCTTTTTTCTGTGAGGTTTGTTTACATCCATGAAGTCCACAAATACAGTCGGGTTATTCATCAGGCTTTCATGTGCCCAGTAAATCTATTGCAGATAAGAATTCAGTGAGCACTCAACTGATACTCAGATTTCATTGTCTTTACATTCAAATCCTGTCTTTTACCCAGATCAATCTGTCTGTCATAGAAGCTTCTGGCAGTGAATACCAGGACTCAGTTTCTTAACCTGTTTTTTTTTTTTTTTTTTGTGTGTGTATGTGTGCATATGTACGTATGTGTACATGTGTGTTCTTTCGGGAAGTGAAGCTTGTGGACCCCTCTTCGAAATAATCTTTTTTTTTTTAAATGCTTGTAATAAAATACAAGTGTTACAAGTAAAGTCAAGAATCTTGAGATACAGTTCTGTCCACAAACTCTCCTTTGGGCAGAGAGTACTGTGGCTGGGGGTAGATAGCCCATAGCTTCACTGACAATGTGGGAAAAGGGTTCTTCCTCAGCCAGCAGTCAGTAACCACCCTGGTCCTGTGGCCTTGTACGGTTGGCTTTATACAGTTGCTTTCTTGTCTAGTTTGCACGTTTTTGGTTCTCTTTCATACCAAGGCTGCTAACTCTCCCCCATTTGCCAATTGTCTCATAGTTTTCCTCCTCTCTAAAACCAGCCACAGTGAATGGCTCTTTCCCTTCTTGTTCAAAGGCTGGGTGTTTGTGCTGGTTTATCAGAGCTTCTGGCAAGGTACCCTGTAGCTCCTGGCTGACGGTGGCTGCAGGCCATGTCTACACAAGTTACAGGAATCCTTAGTGTGTATCTCGCTTGCTATATAGCACTGGAAATTCATGGTGGATGTTCAGGAGTAATTGACTTGGCCAATAGTGGTCTGGGGACGGGATGGCATGATGGTTGAGAGACTGTATGACATCAGACATCCTGGGGTTGGGTGATGATGCCATCACTTGACCCCTGTGCAAGCTTGTGCAACCTTCCTCTGCTCAGCACTGTCATCTGGCTAGCCCTGCCCCTTCATTCACTCTTTAGTCATTTGTCCTAGATATATGTGTTGAATGCTTTTTACAAAGCTGAATTCCACAGATTTATATAAATCACCAAGTCTGTCCTTACGAGGTGTGTAGACTGGAAAGAGCTAAGTCAGGTGTGTGAGAGGCAAGTCCTGCAGTCTCATACAAAGAAGAGTTACCATCTAGAAGGAGGCTGCTATTGGCCAGAAAAGGCTACCCTAAGGTCAAAAGTACACTCTGAATTTAAAAAATGATCTGTACTGTAAACTGACAAATTATGGTTTCATATATGTACAGGGTACAAAGTCATTACACTGTGAAATAAAACTAAATAAAACACAGTTACCACCCACACATGCATTGCTATGCCCGGCAGTTCTAAAGGACTGATCCATCTTTTCTAACTGAGGCATCATCTTCCATGCCTTCCATGACCACTGCCCCATTCCTGAGTGGCGGACCTCCTTTAGACTTTGCTCACAGTGGGGCACGGTCTTTCTGACCAGAGTCCTGGACAGTGTCCAGGAGTGAGCCATGGGGAGGGGTCTGCAGCTTTAGGGGCAACCTAAACTCTGGCTGGAATACCGGGGCACATGTTCAGACTTCTGGCATACACAGAGGCCTGGAGACAAAGACCAACACCAGTGCAGGGCATCTTGATGGCGGAGAGGGTGCCATGAATGCAGACGAGGAGTGGTTTCCAACATGCTGAATGTGAGATGCCCAGGGTAGCAGGACACAGGTTTAGAGTCATTCTCTCTCTCTCTCTCTCTCTCTCTCTCTCTCTCTCTCTCTCTCTCTCGGTTCAGGTTATTTCCACCAAATTTCTTTCCTGTGTATAAAGTGTAGGGGGCTGGAGAGATGGCTCAGCACTAAGAGCACTGGCAGCAGAAACTGGAAGCAGCCTAGATGCCCCTCAACCTAAGAATGGATAGAGAAAATGTGGTACATTTACACAATGGAGTACTACTCAGCGGGAAAAAACAATGGAATTTTGAAATTTGCAGGAAAATGGATGGAACTAGAAGAAACCATTCTGAGCAAGGTAACCTGAACGGATTAAAGTCTCTTTATTCAAGAAAACACCAGGGCAAAACACAGGCCAGAGCGAGGTTACAGGAACCCAGCAAGCGTGGCCAGAACAAAAAGGGCTCGGGTCTCCACGAGCCGTCTTAAGAAGCTTCCCTTAAGTCAC